AGCTCAACCAGAGAGGTGGCTCCAAGCTCTGTGTGAGCAGACTAACTCAGCTCCTCTCAGTTTGCCAGGCACTCAAAGTCTGTTGGCTCTGAAACGCCAAACATCTCTTTGGTTTGGGGAAAAAAGTCCAAGATATAGTTTTTGAAAGGGTAAAGGGGGCAGTTTTCAGGTTCTAATATTGCACAGTGATGCATTTTCGTATAACCCTGCCGGTTTTGTAAGTGGTTAACTGTTCCCTTTGTCGCTCCTCTCCTCAGGGCCCTCCTACCTACAGCCCATATGCAGGTCTGCACAATAATCAGATTGTCACTGTCAAGGTTTGTCTATTTCCAGAGAACCTCTCTACAGCTACCATCATCCTTCAGGCTGCTGACCTGTCCTTTTTCCAGCAAAAAAAAACTTTTTCAGATCTTTCTTCTTTCTTCAGATTCGGCTGAAATCTAATCTCTGTTTTCTCTTGCTGTAGTTGTTTCCTTCAACTCTGGACCATCAGGATTTCTGATTTTGTGTGTCATTTATTTCTCATTTTAATTCCTTCTCTTTCCAGCCCAATCCAAGTCTTCTCTTCTTTTTCTGCTAACTCTCTTCTTCTTTATTCTCTTTTTTCCTGTTCTGTCTTCTGTGCACCAATTTCCTTCTAGATGGTCTTCCCTCGATATGACCATGGCTTTATTGCTGGAGAGCAATCCAGCACCTTTCAGAGACGCTTTCTGAAGGTAGACCTCAACTAACAGGCATGTGGACTCTTTTAACACTCTAAGAGGCTTTACTTTTCATTTACTTTTTCAACTCTTTCTGTTAAGTTACATACATTTTGTTTTTATATGAGTTGTCACATTTTAGGTGTGCTGTTTTGAAGATTTTATTCCTGAGTGAGACCTAAAATGTTTTTAACGCTATTTGTGTTTAGATTAATAGCGTTAAAGAAATGTTACTCATTAATGTCACCTCTCTTTCTTAAGAAGTATAGAAAAGATTTGTTTGGCATTGATGATTCGAGACTAGGCTGAACGTGCATAATTATCTGTACAAGCAAACAAGCTTTTAGTCTGCAGGCCAGTGCCATCTTGCTTGCTTCAACAAAGTAAACCATAATGGACCAGATGTCTGTGGAGATGAGAGGGTGCAGAGGAAATGTCGCCATGTTTCTTCGATTCAAAGTAGTGGCACATTCCCCTCAGTAGTGATAAAAACACATCAATGGTTTGTGGTTAGGGGAAAAAAATATAGATTTAAATTAAATCTGTGAAAAACATGAAAGAAATGACCGACTTAACATACAAGGTTGTGTGTGTCTTTGCATTAGTCTGCATGCGTGTGTTTCACAATGAGACTAAATATCAATCTGACTCAGTGGATGAAGACTTCTCTATCATCTGGCATTGTCTGATTTTAAGCTTTCTGTTTGAAAAAGAGGCTATTGGTGCATGGCAAGTAATCAGCATGGTAAAAAGTTAACAAATGTGTGCAGACTGCGTGTATTCTTGGGTATTTAAAGCTCTTTTTTATTAAGGTCTACAGGCATATAACAACAAATTATTTGTTTGTCAAAGTAGTGGCTCAGAGGAACAAACCTACAGAGCATAATCACCTGGCTCTGCAGCGATCTGCTCTAAAAAAAACTGTGAAGTTTATTCTTGTCCACTTTTTTAAGTTTTAACTGGCTGCTCATCAGAGTGCAGCATTTAGAGGCTGATATTCATTAGATGGGGCAGAAACACATTTTTGAATTAAAGCTAGATAGATTCATTAATCATTCTTCTCTCACATCATCAATGCCAGATGGGATGTATAAAGGTTTCAGATCAAGAGCTTCAAGCTTTTGCCGTTTAATTTACCATTTTCTTTAAAGTTTGTTTATTGTTAATCATTTACTGTGCTTTTTCTTTAAAGACACTTCTCATTAGCAGCATTAATGGCTTGCAAGTAGTGTTATTACACATGATCAAGCGTGTGCACAGGATACATAGTCACTTATCATGTATCTACATTTGTGAGCTTTCATAGGACTCATTTGTTATTAATTTGGCAAATGATAACCTTAATGTATAACCTTTAATGTTTAGGACATTTTTTTTGCTTGTTTCTGCTGCCACCAGCTGGCCAAACACCAGCATAAGGTTGAAGGGGTGTTCTAAAAATATTGGCACTTTTAAAGTGCACTTCGCACTTTAAAACATGGATTTTCTTTTTAGTTGATTGCAAGATCAGTTGTTTATTCAACTGCACAGATACAGAATAGCCTATCCAAATCTGATTATGTTGAAACATTCATCATTTGTTTTGCATTACTTTATTCTTTTCTCCTTTGTTTCTCAAATTCGTCAGGGTGATCAGGGACAAGCTGGACCTCCTGGCCCTCCTGGTCCACCCGGGCCCCGCGGCCCCCCTGGGAACACTGGCAAGGATGGGCCCCGTGGCCCTGCTGGAGAGCCTGTAAGAGAATCACTATACAAAAATTTAGCACATACACACTTTACCTGCTCCTCCTATCACTGCCTGTAAATCCTGGCCCTCAAACTTATCTTATCCCACAAGGACTGCAATTTGATGCACACATATTAAGCGGGTAAGGGTCGTCACAATGAGGCTATATTCTTATTTTTCCGGGTGCGCCATTGAGCTGTGGTTTACCTAAAAATTCCCAGAATAGCAACAAGCCTCATCTGTTTTGTGTAAGTTAGCGGCCACAAAGTTCTCCAAAACACCCCCGTTCCCCCACCCTCCTACCACAACTGTGTCGCCACGTTCGCTGAAACAGATATGGCACTGCGGTGAGTTTACGGGCAGTTTGCCGGCCTCGCCAAACAATGGTGTGCTCCTCGCCTGAGGCAGTTTCGGTTTCTTGGAGTTAACTTTCTGTCTCCCATAGTTTAGTTCATATGCACTGGCAGCTTCGAGCTGTGGTTCCTGAATTGAGGAGAGAAATATCAAATTTTTGTTTATCTATGTGAAAGAATAATTGCTCTGTTACTCTCATATGGCTCTTGACAGCCGTAGGTTCATGTGAAAAATGTTGGTTTCGATGTGGGTGAGTGAAGAACTTGTGCTGAACCACCACTGGAGAAAACCAGAATAGTTCAGAAAGTGACAAAACACAGACAAGTCGATGAAACTGGGCCCATCTTGTAACCTAGTGGATTGCAAATGTGTCTCAAGTTGATTAAAGGCATTGCAAAACCCAAAACTGCACAACAGAGTGGTGCTGAGAGCTGCTCCATGTTGTGGGCAGATGTCTGAGTGGGCTGAGCAGGAGAAAGTGAGCAGCCTGCCAGCATGGGTATCCTCAAACGCGTGACACTTATTTCTGCTGTGTAGAACAACAGGAATCACCGACAGCATTGATCGTCTGTGTGGATGAATTGAAGTTATTTTGCAGATTTGCAAGTGAACATATATTCATACTGAATGCTAAAACAGAGATATGGGTTGATTTGGCAACTGAAGATTGTCTTGAATAAATGCAGTGCTGTTTGTAATCATACGTGCATTTGGCTTCTGAAAGGCTCTTGGTCCAGCTCTGTTCGGCTCTCAACATTAAAGTGGTGCTAAAAATTATTTGCTACGGCAATTTGTTTCCCGCTGCTGTGAAGGAAAGATCAAACAATGAGGAGGAGTTAAGAGGGGTGAGAAATGGGGTTAAAAGGCTGCTGGAGGATGGAAATAAAAGAGGACCTCATAGCAGATGAAGGGATCAGGATGACGGTTTGTATGTGCAGACAGAGTGCAAGAGGAGGAAATCCAGCTGGTAAAAGCATCTTAGTAGCTCCTGCACATTATTGTAAAATACGAGCACTGAACGGAAAGCTAATAACCTCCAATTTATATGCATTTTTAAAAGAGCTCTGAGGGATCATGTAAACACTGCTACTTGATAGCTGAGTGTGTTTGTGTGTGTGCATAAGAGGCACAGAAGAAAGGAAAGACGAGGGTTCTTGCACAGGGTCCCACCACGCTGCCTCTGCCATGGATGACTTCATAACAGATGTTTAGCTGCTTCAAGCATACGTCCACCTGGTCCCCACAAACAAGAAATGGCTCTGTTTACCCTAATGAGCCAAATCACTGTCGGACAGATGGACAGAGACAATAGAGTGGACATGAAATAATGTTTGCGTTTGATGTTCTTTGGAGGAGCTCATCTTATGCAGAGCCCAGGTCATATTTGTTTCTTGCAACTGTCTAAAAAACTCTAAAATGACTCTGAAATGGCTCTTTCCTCAGTTACATCATTGCGGAAAAAAATTACATAACGCCTGCCAAGAAGCTAACAAAAAAAGAGCATCTGCTTCACACACTGTCTGCCACCAATCATTTGACCAATCACAGGAGGCCAAATCCTTTAATAAGAACAGGTCTTTAAGACATAGGAGCTGAACAGTGTTTAAATAGAAAGTTACAGAAGTGCTGCCATTCTGGACATTCAAAACAATAAATTTCTTTATATTTTAAACAATCAAAGTGATTAATAATACAATACTATATTACTTACTTACACTTTGGAGAACATACAGATTTTCTGTGCCTGGAGCTACAAAAGGTGACACATTCATTTTATTTTCAAAGAAACACACAGTCAAAGAATGTAGCAACTTAAAAAACTAACTGCAACAACACAGGTAAAAAGAGACAGGATGAATCCCTATTGGCTGTCTGTTAAAAGAGCTTTTCTGCTGAGCTCTGGGATGTTGTGTGAGCTTCTAAATACCTTTAACCCTCAGATGCAAAGAACTCTATCTTATCCGATGTTTCTCTTGAATAATGCCTTCAGGTATTCGAGGAAACCCAAAGCCATAGACATCTTAGAGTTCCTTATTAAACAGGGACATCTAGTGGCCAAAAAGCATACTTGAATGCATCAATTAAAGAATTTTTTTCTGTCCTTCTCAGGGTTTTCCAGGCCGAGATGGTATTGAGGTGAGTGTACCACTGTATATTTTTTTGCTAATGAGTTGATGACTAATTCATTCTTCATATTAATAATAATAATGTCTCCACAAATGTCCTGCTGCAACAGGGGGCGCAAGGATTACCTGGGAAGCCGGTAAGATTGTTTTTTAAAAAGTTGAAGGCATTTTCTCTTTTGTCATATTTTGCACACCTTAAGTTTATATTCTTTAATACCCATTGATAGTTTCTTAATAATCTTTTTGCCAGGGACAAGATGGCGAGCCTGGCCATCCAGGATCACAGGGTCCTCCAGGCATTAAGGTACAGCTGCAGGCTACATGTCAACTGTGTCCAACGGGGGTTCATCGTGTCGTTTTACACAGCCTTTAAATGTTTCTTTGTTATTGGAACAGGGCGAGCCAGGTACAGGAGAAAAAGGAGAGAGGGGCGTGGATGGACTCCCTGGATTGAAGGTGAAAACATCTGAAGTGAACGTTTGACATGTAATTCCATCTATCGCAGCTGCAAGAAACTGTCCTTGGGACTCCAAAAACACATTTAAACAATTACTAAATTCATCCATTTAATTCAAACAGCCTCAAAATTATTATGCAGGGTCCTGAAACCTGCTCCAGAAGACAGCACTTTCCATAACATTTTACATTTCTAAACTTTTCTAAGTTTAAAATGTTCTCTTTTTTTGAATGACCACCTATAATTTTTGCAATGGACACATTCTGATTTAAATTCAGTTTAAAGGTCACTGACTGTTTTAAGTCTAAAGGTAATTTTAGATAAGATCAAACAAGATAATACGCCAGGTTCTGCAGGATTCTCATCTGAGGCCTCTTCTATTTACTATCTACTGTGTCCCACTTTCTCAGATTTTACCAATCAGCAAAATATGTTAACATAGTTATACATATATAAGGATGGTGCTATCCTTAGTAGTTACATCACATTTATGCTTTTTAAGATGTTGAAATATAATAAGTAAAAATGCTTTACAATGACAAGGTATTTGTTGATCACACAGGGTGACAAAGGAGAAACAGGAGAGCAAGGACCACAGGGACCCATGGTATGTTCATTAATCGGCATATCAACCTTAAAAAAGATTAGTTTTTTTAAATCATGTAGATTTGTTAACAACATATCTGCTTCAGGGTTATCCCGGTGAAAAGGGTGTTGCCGGCTCGTCAGACATCGTTGATTTCAACGGGAAGCTGCTTGATGCCATTCAAGTGAGTGAAATGACAGCATTGAGGATGGTTCCATCTGAAATTTTGGAGTTATGTTTTTAAAAAGAGTCAGGCAAACTGAATCCCAGAAATGGCTCTGTGTTATTACTATTAAACTGAACATGTTGCCATTTCTTCTTGACAGGCCATCAACACCATCAGTGTTTCGGTAATCTGTTGTTGTTGCTGCATGGTTTTTAGAGGTGTGACCAGTGACTAACACAGTATCCATACTTGCGCAGGCACATTCCACTGTGTGTTTCCACTGCACATCACACAGCCTGCGACAGTCAGAGCTTTGTGTTTTTGTATGCCCTCTGCCAAGGGCTTGAGACTCCACATGTATCAGGTGCCACTGAGGAAGTCCTGTCCAAAGAGCATTGCCAAACTTTTGAGTTTATTGAGCCCCTTTACATTTATTTAGGAAATAATGCACAGCCATGGTAAATAGATCAGCTGTGCTGTTTTAACTGGATCCAAAGAGACACAATCCTGCAGAAAAATGTCAATCTGTCAATATACTTGATGCCTTATTCAGAGTTTTTTTTATGCTACATTAGGCCAAGAGAAAATGTTAAGTTTTTACACACAAGGATATTATGGTAAAGGAAATGTTATCATAACAAATAATTTAGATTTACCATGACATGAGCACAAACACAAGAAATTCTGTACTTCAAATATTGCAATATTATGCAGAGCTCGTTCATGTGTCCTGTGATGAGAAGGGTAAAACAGAATAGGGCGATAAGGCACCCGCAGGTTAAAAACCTTCGGCACAAACGCAGTGTTAGGTTTCTGAAGAACCACAGAATCCCCCCTCAAAAAACACATACAAGCCAGGTTCACCGACAACGCCAGTGACAGCACTGTGGACAGATATTACGAGCGCCACGTCTTGTCGGGACTGGCGTAGTGGAAAATTGCTTCTCGGGACAAGGGCAGGGAGCGCATCCCATAGTGAGATATGGAAATGAATGTTGAAAGAGAACTAACTGGAACATCCACCCCTGGGAAGATTGTCCATTGTCCTGTAAATAACATTTACCAGGCCCACTTTGCATTCTATTAACACACACCAGAATGCTGAAGATCAATAAAAAATTATTATGAGTATTTACTTGGCTGCTAATTGCCATCCTGATTCTAATGGCTGCAGTTTCATTTTTTGTTTTTCTTAAAGACATAGTGTAAAATGTCCTGTATTATTATTTGCCAGATGCTGCTCCCACTTCCTTTCAGATTTCAAATGATTTTGATAAATTGGTGCACTTTCATTTTTTACATGGCTATAAATAAGTATCTCATAAGACAAATGACTGTAAGGCAGCATGGGGAGTTTATTTTCAGGTCATTCGGTTGAAGGATTTTCTTCCTTCATCACATGTTCCTGTCTTCATACTCTTGATCTTGATCGTATCAGGGCACATGCCACTAAAAGATAGACAACTTTGCAGTGGAGTGTGCATTTTATTAAAAACCAGCATGAATAAAGTCCCCATGGACTTGATCTGAAATGTGCTCCTGCATGCACAGTTTTTAGCTAACAGCCTGAGATAGTTACAAAGCAGGCGGTGAAAACATGAACCTGAGATCTTATCACATGTTCCTCGCTGACTAAGATCAGTCAGCACAAAGTCAGACAAAGGTCTCTGCCAGAGTCATTTATCCACTTATTTACTCGTTGGCCACCCATCTTGTGTGTTGATCCCTTCGTTTGTTTGTGTCAGAACTGTTTCTGAATGTTATATCCACACTGAAATGTTAGGTGATGATGAATTGGGTATAAAGCAGTTCTGGAATTGTTTGTTTATTGCTGTCATTCACTGCACCACTTTCCATATGAGTCTTTGCATGAATAGTCTTCACTTTCCAGTGATGAAATATCCCAGATCAAATAGTTGCTTGTAATTATTTTTGGTTACTATAGCTTTCTGAGAAAACAAACAAAAAGTTTAGGATTGAAAAGTAGCTGTAATCCTCTGGGAGGCAACATGATTTCCCCTTTTACTACTTCAAAATGACCAAGGCTCCAAGAGGGCGAGTTACATGTGTCACATTGTGGATGTAGAGATTAAGGAGCAAGATTTGAGAGAGCAGCAACACAAAGCAGACTGCATGTTTATGAATAGGGTATATGTGCGTGTGTGTGTGAAACAATATCCATCATTACCTACTGCAATAGTGACATTTATGTGCTGCAGTATTTCCCCTACTTGACCCATCCTAAATCAAAACACTCAACTGGGACAGAAGTTGATGGACTGTTGTATATAACAGAGAACACTCAGAACATTTTTTCATAATATTGGCTGGGCTTCAATGTGGTTGGGATCAACATAGTTATGAAAGTTGAAAGCAGCCTTGTATAATATCTGTCTCCTATTGTTCATATTGCTTTGTAGTTTTATGTATGATTCCTCTCCATTTCATATAAACGGCGAGAATAAACAGCTGTGTTTGTATGTAAATCCCAAATAGCTCTGCAGCTGTTTGATCGTCACTCACCAAGTTATAACAGATAAAGATGTTCTCGCTTCCTTGGTTTTGTTCACAACAAATTACTCGTCACGTTCACTTTCACAGTTGTCATCAGTGATATTTTTGATTAAATGCTTTTTTCTGCACTTAATGTCTGACAACCCACTGTGTCACACACCAGCACACACAGTTACTACCCTCTCTGTTTACAGTAGCTCAGTGAGACTGTCTGTTCTTGCGAGCGTAAATATAGGTTGATAAAAATTTACAGTCAGATCAAACACATTGTTTCTGTTATTCTTCAGGGCCCACCTGGACCACCAGGACCCCCTGGCCCGGCAGGGGAAAAGGTGAGGCAGCTCTTCCTCACTGTTACTGTTTTATGACACGATACTGGAACATCTGCATAAACATGCATTCATGCAAATATATTTGTAAAGTTAGCAACTCATCCATGCTTTCTATTTATTAGGGTGAGCTTGGTTTACCTGGACCAGCAGGAATGGATGGAGAAAGGGTAAAGCACACATATAAGTGACACACAAATCGATTGAGTTTTTTCTGTATTGTCCACTTATTAACCCCAAAATGTTGAGCTTCCTTTTTATCAGCCCATCGTTGTTATTCTCAATGTGAGAGTGCTTGTTTGATCTTCACATTTAGGGATTCAGAGGGGACGTGGGGGAGAGAGGCCCTCCTGGAGAGCGAGGAGAAAAGGGAGAGATGGGTCTGTCTGGGCCCAGTGTAAGTAGAGGCAGAAACCATGCTGCTGTTCTGTAGAAAACAGTGACAACTGAAAGTTAATCTTGCTGTTTGTTGGTCAGGGTATGGATGGGCAGAAGGGGGAAAAGGGCGACTGCAGACTAGATGACAACCTGGTCAGTATAACATCCCACAACCACATCCACAAAGCTTTAAGGAGTAAATATCTATTTATCTGTAAAAAAAAAAAAAAAGATAGCTCAAGATACGTTTAACAAAATATTTCATAACTTCATTAAACAAGGTTTTTCATTGCAAGTAGAAACAAAATCGTTACGCTAAGTATAATGGAGAAATATTTCACGAAAAAATACAGCAAACTTTTCACTGGAAATAATGAATAATTAATCAATATTAAAAAGGTTATTTCTAAGCATTGTTTCTTTGTTTCTTTTTTACTCTGATTTTTGATGATCAGGTTCAGATGATTTCCCAGCCTGGCCCACCTGGCCCTCCAGGAGTGCCTGGGTCCCCCGGATCCATGGTGAGTAGTTGTGTTAATATTTATATCCATGTGTTGGAATCCATGTTGTTGTTACAATCTGTAGCTGTCACACACTGACAACACACAATGGGTTTCAGGGACTGCATGGAATGCCTGGCCCAAAGGTAAGCCTGGAAGCCGGGACCTGAGCTGTGGTGATAGCTGGAGGACATGTTGTTCAGTACTCACGGATTCTGTGTTGCTACTTTGCAGGGTGAGCCTGGATTTGGCATAAAGGGAGAGAAAGGGGAAACTGGTGCAGCTGGTCTCAGAGTACGTGACATCTTGGTCCTGCAATCGTTGTTTTCATACCGTGAATTATTTTCAGGAATCAGAGATGATAATAAAGTTTTACTGCAGGGACTGGATGGCCACCATGGTCCACCTGGGTCTCCAGGGTTGGTGGGGCTTCCAGGTGCCAAAGGAGAAAAAGTGAGCCCATCATAACCATTTTACATGTGTGGTAGATCTCTTTATTGGCTGATCTGAAAAATAAGAATTATATTTGTGTCCATAGGGCAGACCAGGAGAACCTGGACTAGATGTGAGTTCGTTACTGAGATATTTCATGACTACCTTTAAAATCCCACTGTTTGCATTTGAACTGAAGCTCAACTTGCTTCCAGTGACGAGTTGTGTGTGCTTCTGTTATTCAGGGATTTCCAGGCCTGAGGGGAGAAAAGGGTGACCGAGGAGAAAGAGGAGACAAGGTTAGTCCAAAACAAAGACACAAAGGAAAATCAAACTGTCCCCCAGGCCATCGCATTTTTCTCATCCTTTGAATTAGCTGTCTTACAGTAAACTGGACATGCGTGTTTCTTTCACATTAATGCATGATTTCTGCTACATTCAAAGTCTAAACAGTTGAAAGTTTTTATCATGTGCTTGTAACTGCTTCCATTTTGCCGTCATGTGTCAGGGTGACAGGGGAACAGTCGGGAAGAGAGGTCTGAAGGGCCAGAAGGGAGAGCAAGGTCCGCCAGGCCTGGACCAGCCATGTCCTGTGGTAGGTTACCAGTTTTTCATAGCCTCTTTCCACTTTTAAAAATATTTTGAATTTCCATCTTTTCTTTTCATTCTTAGCATTGCATCTTACATTTTCTCAGAATTTCTTCATCAATACTACAAATGTGTAATTGGCTCCTTCTGACAGGGTTGTGATGAAACTAAAGGTCTGTCTGTGAAGGCAGGGCTTTCTGAAACTTCTCCTCTTCCTCCTTCTGGCCCCGAGGCCCCCTGTTCTGTGGTACGGTATCTTTCTCTCCTTCCTGCACTTCTTTCATGTCTATCGTCTATTCAAACTGCACCTTTCTCGTATGTCTTCTCCCTTTCTTTCAAACGCTGGAGTGTGCATGCTGTCCCTCACCAGCATTATGTAAGACTGAGTTCAGCATTAGTTCAGCATTATTCGTGCTTAGACAGGGTCGTTCACAGACCGTAAACAATAGATTTTTTAGCTTTTATTGTGTCTTTGGCTTACAATGGTCAGCACACCCAGGGCAATGAAAGGTCACCTTCTTCTTGCAAATGTGACACAAGCTATCAGGTTTAAAAAACATTATTCTGAGTTGTAATTCAGAAAATAAAATGAATTAGATGATGAATCAGAACAGAAGAATACATAAATAGGTGCATAAATAAAAGGCAACTGACATTTTGTGAAGGAGGGCGGTTTTTGACTGACTATCAAGTCAGAACTTTACCAGATTCATTCAATAAAAAAGCTCTCAAACTTAAAAAAAGGGATTATCTTAACCCCTCCAATGATTATGATATTAGCTAATTCTAGCTTTGTCAAGTTTTGTCAAGTATATTAGTGTTAGGCATATTTAATACGATATGTTGTGTGATAAAAAAAGGAAATAGGATCATATTAATAGTCTAATTACAGGTGACTATGTTTGTGTTGTGTACAATTATCGACCGCAGCATCACATAACACAGCACGTTTTCACCCTACAGGGACCTGATGGACTACCAATACCAGGCTGTTTGCATAAGGTAAGTCTGACGCTTAAATTAGCTTAACTTCTGTATCTATCTGCCACTTAATGCCAAATGCTGTGGAAAACAGTCATGGGATGGCTAACACAATCGAAGTATGCAAATATATTGAGACGATTTGCTCTGATTTAACACAGGGGCATTTTGTAAGTATATTCCAGTGTGTTTGGGTGCATTTGCACTGACAAAGCATGGACAACTGGAGTCATGTGCTCATTGTGTCTTAAGACTTGAACACTAATCAGCCCTTTCTATTTTTGTCTTTGCAGTGATGACTAACCAGCAGCATGGAATCTGTACATATTGATATGATATATTTCGCAACTGAATACTATGCCAACAACCTTCTTCCCGAATAAAAGTCTGTTTTATAATATATTGAAGATTTGAGGAAAAGGACATTTTTGAGTCAACACGCTTTTTTTTTTATAAACTGGGAATCCAATTTTGTGAATGCAGTGATGAACTGTAATCAGCTGGAGTGGAAGAGTGCTTCACTAACTGAGTCTGACTTGTAACCATGAAGGGCATAGGGGACATGTGACGGTGTATGCGCTCATCCAGTCATGTGGGACGCTGGATGCTCGAATGGATGGACATTTCTTTTTTTTGCTTGCTGGGGGAGTGTATTGTCAGTGCTCTCTTGTCCTTCTCTGTTTTCTAAAAGGAGGAAATGGTGAGGCAGAAGCTCAAACGCAAGCGTCTTTCTCAGCCCTGAGAGCTGAGCAGGGTCCGGTGGGAAAAAAAAGGGCAGGCTGAGGTTGAGAGGCAGATTGGCTTTTCTGAAGCACAGCTCACCACGCTGTGCCTCCGCATCACACCCAACACGCAGATCCTCCGCTGTGGAAACTCTCCAGGAGGAGGCGACAGAATTCTGCATTTCCACATTCACCTTAAGGGGAAAGACAAACCTGTTGCTGATGATGTCGTGCATGGCCTTGCTAAACCATTGAGGTTATTGGGGACTTATTGATGTCCCTGGCTTATGAAGAAGGATTTACTGAGCAGATACAGTGAACATGTTATGATGATAACTTGGATGAGTGTGTTGTAATATGTTCATGCATAATCATGGCATTACAAGTGATTCACGTTTTCCGAGAGCCTCTGTAACCTTTGTTCCGGACTGAAACCATAAATAACAGCACACTGATTTTTACTTTCAATAATCAGTCTTTCCATACAAATAAGCCTTTAAGAATTTTCACGGCTTATGTTTGTTCAATTTGTGTGTTGTTTTGTTGAATTGGAGCATATACTTCTTTTTTTTCTTGTTATATTTTGCATTCCTATGCATTTCCTTGATTGTAGATAGTGAGACCTAAAGGCCAGATTTGAAGGAACCATTTACAGTATTTGTGAGAAATCAGTGTTATTTGCTTGGACAAATACTTGCCCTTAATTAAGGCCTATTGACTGATCATTATGTTTTAACTTCAGAGGAAGGTGTGTTTATATTACTGCTTCCAGTTTCTCTGGACAACAGTAGAAGTTCTTGCTGCTGACTTTTATGTGTGTTGTTTGTTTTTTATATTTTTTGGGATGATTATTAGCCATGGACTGAAGGACTAGCTAGCTAAAGTATGGAATTTTTATCAAACATACACGCAACAACATACACAAACTTTGTTTGTGCTTTTTGATTTCATAAACACAGACATGCAAATCTGTTTTTTGCTAACAGGTGATCTTTTTGTTTTGTGGTCTTTGCAATGCCTCACTCTCAGATGGAAAAGGTTCTTGGTGCTTAAATGCTTTCACTTTAAATATTTTGTCTGGATTCTCAGAACACTCATGCACACACACATACACACAGATGCAGGCTCCTCAAAGAGCAGCCAGGGGAAAAGAAACAGGTCTAGCTGGTAATGATATACCAATAACTATTCTCATGCATTTAGTTTTCATATGAGCAGAACTGAGATTACATAGGTTGAATATACACCGGTGCACAGGTACATTAATGGGAAATTAAACTGATGTATTTCTTTGTGTATTTTACATTGATATGTGTTGCACTTTTTTTATATTATCTATCGTCTTCTTGTGAGACAAAATACATATCTGAAGTAATGTTTTACTGCTCACCAGTCATTCACATTTGTATTGACACCAAAACATCACATTGATTACAACCCCCTTTTTTTTTCTAAATTCAACAACCATGATGCACCATGACAGTCAACATTTTAAACTAAGTAAATAAATCAGTTTATTGGTAATGCTGATTTCCTTTAGGTGTGTAACTAATAGCTTTAGCTTTGCATTTCTGGCATCTGACAAAACTGTTTCTGTGTCACAGTAATGATTTTTTGTTTTTCATTTATTTGACTGTATCAGGTTTTTGAAAAAGTGCAGCATATATTAAGAATATTCTGTACAACATATTTATGAAGATAAAGGTATAAAATGAGGGGCATTTCGTTGATCTGAGATAGACATGAACTGAGATTCAATATGAAATGTATATGTTGAGAAAGACCTTGTTTGAAAGCAGTATGACTTACCATTGAACTTTACATTTTGGCATTATTTCAATATAAGCTGATGGTTATCTGTCATGTAACATTTTCACATGTTTTTATTTCTTTTGCAGATTCTATCAGTGCCATTTTCATGGCAGAATACAGTTGGTTCCTGGCACAGTGTCTGATTAGAGTTTGATATTTTAGCTAATCTTATATACAGTATTAGCTTGATTTTGTGAGAATGATTTTTTGGGTTGTGTATTTGGTTGTAAAAGATTTAAGCTATTTTTGTAATTACTTGTCCAAATATGTGTAACATGAAATCTGCTCAACAAAACATGTAGACTGAAATAAACTCTCTAGTTTCAAAGCGTTGTTATTGTATTTATGATAAACATACTCCATAGACAAAGGGCTCTGGTCCATTGGGGATTTAAACTGGGCACCCTGTTGCTGTGAGGCAACTATGCTAAATAACACTGTGCAGCCCACAAACCAACTGTCTTTGTAGATTTTCCAAATCTTCATAAGATCATAAGAGGGTTAAAATACAAATTGGGGAAATCATTTGAGTCAAGGGATGGGCTCTATTTAACAGCAGAGCTTTAAAGAGCACAGAGGAATCTGGCCCTTCATAGTTTACAATATGCTTAGTATACACATATTTATACAAAGGAGCAAAAATAGCAATCCAATTCTGATTTAAAGTTCACCTTTTACATGTGCTTGAGGCTCAGGCACATCACATTTGATCTAAATGTTAATACAATGTAATATGCTATAGATTCTTTGTCATCTAAAGAGGTCATGTCCAATCATTTTTTCCAAACACTGTAAAGACTGAACATAAATAAATCACTGCAAAATGTATGCAATTCAATCATACAATGGGGACATTTAAAACTTTGTATTTTGGAACCTATTGTCACATAATCTACTCATTAACAGTCCTCCAAATAAAAATTATTTATACTCTAATACATTTGAACTAACATTTGATTCCATAAGAACCAGCTATATCACTGACGAGCTGACATAGAGTACAAACATTTGTTTTATGTATTGAGCCATAAGAGCATCCCCTTAATTTGATGGTTGAAAATCCTTCCTTGTTCTTTCAGATTGAATTAAGTTATTCATTTTTCTTAAATAAATGTGAATCGGTGCCAGATGTGCTGCAGTCATTGGTCATCGTTAGTGTTTTATTTACTCTGCAGCTTCTTGGAACATATAAACAGACAGCTCATGTGATTTTCTATGTAAGATTTTACCAAATAAAGATGTATTTGTTTTATATGTTACCATGGGACAGTAAATCCTTACGGTGTCACAGAATAGCATATAGAAGGTCTTGGGAAAACAATTACATAGAGCTAAATATGTTATTTTAACTACAACCAAGTTTCAATGTGTTCAACAACATTTTAGTCCTATTTATCTAATAAATACATAAACAAAGCCTTCAACATAACCTAATATTCAAAATGTGATCTCCATATATGTTTTTCATTTCATCATAAAATTCCATCCATCAATTTATAAAACATAAGTACAAACAAAATAAGCGTAGGATTCATGGGGATATAACACCTTATACACCTTACAAATTAATCTGACTTTCACTATCAAAACATTTCCATTCCAATTTTAAACACAAAAACACTGTCGTTTAATATCTATAAAGAAAGTGTATCATGCTTATCTATTTATTGTTCTTTGTGCTTTACAAATTAACTGCACGGTGATTGAACTCTACATATCCCACAATCCTTTGCGGGCTTCTCACCCCTCTTAGTTATTGCATCCGGGTCTAAACTTCCTTTTCCTCCGTGCCTAGATGCGATGAGGACTTAGGTTTGCCCGGACCTCTGAAAAATCCGAATCCATCCTTGTAAAAGGCACCACCGAACCTCGCCAAAATGACCGAGCAGATGACAGTTAGGGGTACCCTGAAGGGGCACAGTGGATGGGTCACCCAGATCGCCACTACGCCCCAGTACCCCGACATGATTCTGTCGGCGTCCCGAGGTGAGGTTTCCCCCGCCGGCTCGGCCAACATGGCTAGGGTTAGCATTGTCCAGCTAGCTTCTCGGCAGCTGTAATATTAGATAAACCACGACGTTGCACTCAGTTCCACGGAACAGATGGACAGTATTAACAGCATTGTGAAGTCTTCTGTAGTGTTTGCAATCATTTGTAAATGTTCGGGTTAGAACTAGGCTAGCTGAGCTCGGGCAACCTGGCCTCATATTGAAATAAAAGTATCTCAAGAGGTTTTTGAGACACGTGGCAGTAGTAACCTACAAGAATTCATGTTTGCATGTGGTAGCACAAGTATTCTCAATCCTTGAAATCTGAGTTTCCTCTTCATGTATTTGACAGCCATATTCTAAATTTCCTTAGCTTCGTATTAGCATCACATGCTAGTTTACCACACCTGCCAATTGACTGGCTCCAGAGTCTGATGCTGATGTTTTTGTTTTTTCAATGTCTTCTCTCAGATAAGTCGATCATTATGTGGAAACTGACCCGTGATGAGACTAACTATGGCATCCCTCAGCGCTCCCTGAAGGGTCACTCTCACTTTGTAAGTGATGTTGTCATCTCCTCTGATGGGCAGTTTGCCCTGTCAGGTGCCTGGGACGGGACCCTGCGGCTGTGGGACCTCACCACGTAAGTACAGGATGGATTTCTCTAAAGTGCAGTTTTTTATGTTGCCCGCTGCCAAAAACATGTCTTTGCTTGTGTGTTTTATTTAGTCTTTTTCTGGTACATACTATAAAGCACACAGGTCTTCTTGGAGCATATTTTATGACAATGTGTCTCCTAACACCTAAGGTTCTCTTATGAGTATTTCTTGTCTAGTTCCTTCCCTGTCTAAATTTTAGACCTCCAGGATTCCATTAGATACAGCGGACCAGACTTACAAACCCTGAATGTTATGGCTCAGATCAGGGCTACTTTATGCTGTGAGACCAGACAATTTGTTTTATGAATTGATTTGGGTGAAATCTCTTGTACAGAGCACAAATTATTTCAAATGTCATGTTTTCATTCTAGCATCTTCTGTTTTTTTTCCTAATATCTTGTGGGAACTGTACTAGTTTAAAACCTACTGTTTCTGCTTCAGTTTCCCTGTAAGCTGAGCTGTTATCTTTAGCTGACAGCAAGGTTTTAATTTAGTGACTTGAGATAACAGCACTGTTAATAAGATGTCCTTTTTATTTTTGCCCAGTGGTCTCACTACCCGCCAATTTGTTGGACACACCAAGGATGTTCTGAGTGTGGCCTTCTCTGCCGACAACCGCCAGATTGTGTCTGGCTCCCGGGACAAGACCATCAAGCTGTGGAACACTCTTGGTGTCTGCAAGTACACCATTCAGGTGGGTTTCCAGGGGTGATGTAACTTAATCAGTTGTGCCTTTGGAAGTGTTTTCCTAATGACAGAAACATTTAAGTGACCATTAATAGTTTGGCATTTAGAATTTGTTTTCTTAAATTCTCAGGATGAAGGCCACACGGAATGGGTGTCCTGTGTTCGCTTCTCCCCCAATAGCAGCAACCCCATCATCGTCTCCTGTGGCTGGGACAAGATGGTCAAGGTATGATTTCCTTTGCTGCTCACTGAGACTGGGTGGAAGAATGTGATCTGAAGCATTGTTTGCTCTTGTATGAAAATGTTTGCATGTATTATCTGACCTCAATGAGGAAATCACACAGCTATGAGAACAGAGCAACTTTAGATGGACACAATGGTATTCCTTCCAGCGCTGATCTAACGGTCTCTGCACCTTATCTCCAGGTGTGGAATCTGGCCAACTGCAAGCTGAAGACCAACCACATTGGTCACACCGGTTACCTGAACACAGTGACTGTCTCCCCCGATGGTTCCCTGTGCGCATCCGGTGGAAAGGTATTGTACTTGTTTGTTGGCTCCCGCAGAATGTACATGGGTCTCTTGTTATTTTAGTAAACACAGAAAGCGGGCTTGCAGGTGTCAACAGTGATGGAAAACTTCATACACATCTGATTAGCATGGTGACAAAGAGGCTGTTTCTGAGTGGCACCTGCAGGGGACTCTGCATTAATACCTAGGATTTGTTAGGATGGTTAAGTTCACTGAAGAGTTAGGATATGTTTTTTTGAGAGTGTCTTTTGTATTCAGGATGGCCAGGCCATGCTGTGGGACCTGAATGAGGGCAAGCACCTCTACACCCTGGACAGTGGTGACATCATCAATGCCCTTTGCTTCAGCCCCAACCGCTACTGGCTGTGTGCTGCCACCGGTCCCAGCATCAAGATCTGGGTGAGACTTCCTAAAGATCATCTCAGTGAAATGGAGCATGAAGGGCTGTGATGAAACTCTTAACGTTAACTGTATTGTTTGATGATATCAGAGGCTGTTTCTGAGCTCCAGTATGGTCCATTTGTAATTGCTTAATTTTTCTTTTTTTCTGCGTAGTTGAATCATGTTTCCTTATAACCAGGGTTAGTAATCAGCTGTTTGGCCTTGTTGTAGGATCTGGAGGGCAAGATCATTGTAGATGAGCTGAGACAGGAAGTGATCAGCACAAACAGCAAAGCTGAACCCCCACAGTGTACTTCCCTGGCCTGGTCTGCTGATGGACAGGTACGTGATCTTCGGATCATCTTTGTTCTTCCAGAACATGACTGGTTCCGGCTAACCCCACTGATTATACCCATTCACTTTTAACTCTGATGTCTTCTGCTGACAGTCCTGCAAATATGAGGGGAACAAAGGTGCATTTATTTGTATCCCTCATTCTATCCCTCTTCTAACCTCTATCCCTTTTCCCTACAGACCCTGTTTGCTGGCTACACTGACAACCTGATCAGAGTGTGGCAGGTCACTATTGGAACCCGATAAAGACCCTTCGCTGAAGCAACTTTAAATAAAAAGACTGTTTGAAAAGAAATGTGTGCCCTCTTGGTCTTGACACTGTAAATGCTCATAGTTTAAGTTTATACTGGCAGAATTGAAATTGTGTAAAACCAAGGATGGACTTTAAAGATGACTTATTAAATGTTTACAATTTGGAGCCAAAGAGAAACATAACCAGTGTTGAAGTTTGATACAACCAACATGCCCATAATTTCATATGTTTCTCTGTTGAAATATTTTAGTCACATGCTGCTCTGCAGCTTGTTCCGTACTCGCATGGTTTGTCCTACTTGGGACCTTGTAGCCGCGAGATGGTAACATAGCAACCGAAACAATCTGTCGCACAGTGCTGGGTTAGTTTTACTTCGCTGTTAGAAGCACATGAAGATTGCATTTATCACTAGATTGTAGCTATTTGTATTGATACGGACAGTATCCCGAGGTGTCTGAGCCCCGGGAAGCTTTTTTTGGCCAAGCGTTAGCGTACGGCCGAAGAAAAATGAAGCCGCCTTCAGGTGATCGTCTTTTTGTTGAAAGGACGTTGGCCCTCATCAAACCGGATGCCATTCACAAAGCTGAGGAGATCCAGGATATTATCCTGAGGTCGGGCTTCACTATCCTGCAGGTTAGTTTTAAATGACCGGAGTGGACGTAAGTCATTGAGAGGAAGTTGGAAAGTTACAGGATGTTCACTCTGAAGGGATCTGTTTTGATTTTTCAAGAATTGCATGCCATCTTTTCATGAAAAACGCGTGTATAATGCCTTGGTTGAAAAAATGACCTGATAACGGTTATGCCATTTTGACGTTGAAGCGATGTCTGAGGCAGGAGGGAATATTATTAATGCTTGTCTATGAAACATGAAAAACAACCCACATTTAACAGTTAATTTTCTCCCTCGTAAAGCCACACTTAACATATTTATTATTCTTGAAGCAAAACCTTAAACACTCAAAGTCTGAGAATTTATCTAATCTTCTGTAAGGAGAGACACCAAACAGTTACATTTGGATTGGTTGAACGGTTAGAATCTGTGCAAACTAACTGTCTTATTTCAGCAAGTAAAATCCTTGAACAATTTTGCTTAAAAACTTGAGCTGTAGTTCTCACTTTTAGTAATGAAGTGACGTACCAGGAGCAAATGTTAAGATACACCTTACACAAAAAAACTGAGCGCTTTGAACCAATTCGATGTTTTCCCCTAGCACCGTCTTCATTCAGCCACGTTTTTCATAGAAAAGAAACGAAACATTAAAGCCTATGTGTAGATCAACATAATTTTAATTCAGATTGCTGATGTATATCAAATAGTCAGATAACGGTCATTGATTAATTATCATATAAACTATTATTCAATTAAATATTCATAAAATCTGTCAACACATTTTTAGATTAAACATTTAGTTCAGCTTTTACGTTTGATCAAAGTTGAAATATAACAAATCTAGTCTAAAGTGACAAATATTTGAATGATCAAATACTTCAATGATTGCATATAGAATGTCTTCTCAGAACCAAAATTATTTTGGTGTTTCTAATCTGAAATTCAAGCCAGAGATTTTATTGTAAAACTAAGTAACAGCATATTCCACAATATTAGAAAAATAGATTCATGTACCACTGCATGTTGTAATGGAATTATAATGGACCTTTTCATTTGGTAAATACTGCATTTGTGGCATACAACATTCACTTACACGTGCACTCGTTCATCAACATGAGTGCAAGTGAGCATACGACCACATCTGATCTTGTATGTAAAGAAATCCTCTGACCTATCTGGAGGAATTTGAAAAGGGGAGGAAAAATCATCAGTACATGCTGTTCATCCCTCACTATTGTCTCATTTTTGCTCCCTGTGGCAGAAGCGGAGAGTGCAGCTCAGTCCAGAGCAATGCAGCGACTTCTACGCAGACCAGTACGGAAAGCTCTCCTTTGCCAGCTTGACGGCCTTCATGAGCTCCGGCCCAGTTGTTGCCTTGACCCTGGCTCGAGACAACGCCATCGCACACTGGAAGTCCATCATCGGGCCTGCCAACATCACAAAGGCCAGAGAAGCCCAACCGGACTGGTCAGTTGGACATATTATTGTCATTTTTATGGCACTGCTACAAACAGTTAATGGAAGTTTGGCGATGGAAAGTTGTCGGTCCATATAACTCTAGATAAAATCTTGTTTTTATAGTTGTTTGGAACAGTGTGTATTGCACATTATGGCTTCATTAAGTTATTTAATGGGACATATCAGGGAACAATTCTGTGCCATAGAGAATTTATTTTGGTGTCAAAAACTCAAATCAAATCCTGTTGTTTGTGATATTCAGCGAGCTGTGCGATGAGAAATAAATGTCATTTTACTGAGGTTGTCAAGCCTTCAAGTGATGCTATAGCCCCTCTTCTTCAGAACTGAAGCTTTTTCTCCTATTTTTTTCAGTTTTTTTCTCAATGTTATACCTTATCATGAGTTACATAGTTCACATAAAATGAATTATCTAAAAATTCTCACGTCATGCCTCTGTTATGTTGGCTAAAGCATGCTATGGGCATTTCGTTATCATGTCACCATGAACCAACCTACAAGTGTTAGTTTTATCATATGTAGAAACCAAATGACTGTCCTGATCTGCTGTATTTTCCCCAGCCTGAGAGCCATATATGGAACCTCTGACCTGAAAAATGCTCTCCATGGCAGTGAGTCATTTCATGCAGCAGTGAAGGAGATCAAATTTATGTTCCCAAACAGTAAGCTGTTTGCACCCTCAGAGAACATCCTGATGTTCATACAGATATTAATCTGCTAATATCCATGAGTTCTACCGCCTCATGTCACCCCTCCCTGTAGCTGTAATCGAGACCTATCCCTCCAAAGAAGAGACTGAAGAATACTTGAACACATGTGTAAATCCAGTGTTGGTGCGTGGACTGACTGAGCTCTGCAAGAAAAAGCCCCTGGAACCCCGCGTAAGTACTGGAGGAGAATGAAACCCATCCGATGATAACATTGTTGTAACCATGTTAGTTATTGGAGTATTTGACTCTACAGGTTTGGCTCGCTGACTGGCTGCTCAGAAACAATCCCAACCAGCCCCGCATATGCGAAAGCGTCATTGAGGAAGGTGAAGGATGAAAAACAAACGCAAAATTAAAGAGAATAATATAATCATTGTTTTGACACATTTCTCTACTCATGATTAAAGGTGTAACATTTTTATCACTACATGTATGTGTTTTTTGTTTCCTCTCTGACATGAATAAAGTAATCTGACTTGCAGAAACTACTTCGTCTCACAAATACAAAGATTACATCGGGAAGTGTCACATGAATCAGCTAATTGTGCACTTGAGGTAATACTAAAATATTAAGTGAAAAAACCTACAAAAATCTTCATATATATTTTTTTTTAAATGACCTGAATTACCACCAGTTAGTCATTTGGATAACCATGCAAACACAAGATGTAAATATATGTTTAAGTGCTTTTAAAAGCATGCATTTCCTTTGAATGTTGATACTTTAATGCAAAGTAAAAAGGTACATAACGTATTTCAGTTCTCGGATGTATGTATTTGCAAACATTTGAATCGTGGGTAAAACGAAACAAAAACAACTTTGCGTTTGCACAACTGGACAAACTAAGCTCAAAAACCGATATATATTTAGATTCCAATCCTGGTAGTTTACAAAAATGAAAAAGAAGAACATTCAAACAGAAGGGTTGAAACTACAGGATGCATTTTCTAAATTATAAACTGAAAGGAACTGCGTCATAAACTCCTACAGCTTCACTGTGGAAACATATTTTATAATTGGTTGTTCCATATCATGTGTTCGATTTATCTTCTAAAAAAATAAGTGTCCTTATTCAACCCTTAAAGTCCCCGTGAACTGGATGGAAAGAATCGGCAGACATATTTATTCCGTCCCTTCCTTCTTCAGCTTGTTCGCTCTGAGCCTTGCTGAACTGACAGAACACCGGCTGGATGACAGCGCCTCTCCTTCTCCGTATTTCTCATAAGGACATTTTGAATTGGATTTCATCTTCTTCAGATTCTGACTGAAGTGTGCTGAAATTGACTCTGGACTAATAGTTTGGAATGATACTAGTACAGAGGAGGTAGCTAGCCCCTGAGCGCTCTGCCTTTAGCAGCCGCTGTGAAGGTTCACCGAGTTCCTTCCTGTCTTCCGTGGGCGTGGACACGTTCTGCAAAAAGAAAGAAAAACGTCTACCATTGGTGGGCAGTCTGAGTGACAGTAAAAATAATCCAATCGGAGGGTTTCTCTGCAGAAATGTCGTTTTTTTCCTGCCGGTTCTAGAAAACCAACCACGAGTTGTCGTCGTGTGGGAGAATCCATCTTGAAGAGAGCTCTCCGGCTGTGTGACCAGTAAGTAGCTTTCAGTGTTTATTTAACCATCGTCTTTGCTAGACTGTAACGAGTGTAGAAAGACTCACGTGATAACAATGTCTCAGTTTTTCAAATGGATATTGAGTAAATTCGCTATCTTTTAGTTACTGGTCCAAATTTCGAAAAGACGGCCTCTCACTTACGTAACTGCGAAATTGACTTGGTGGGTTCAGGGCTTGTTTTATCATTGAAAAACAGCTGATAGCGACTTTTCTAATCTTGGCCACCAGCAGAACCGCACTAAATATTTAGGGTGGTCGGGGTGTTCGTGAGGAAGTGAGTTGGGATTGTGTTTTTTGTAAGCGCAGTCGAGTACGTGAATGTATGGGACGCGGTGTCGCCGGTCAAAATGGTGGGAAATGCACGAATTGGTGCCGTGTAAATGGCGATGCCCGTGTCTGGGGAGCCCCGGCTGTTTCACCGCCGATGCCTGACAAACCTCGCTCTTCTTTGTCGACTTAGGTAAAACAGTACAAAATGTCTGAGGCAGAGCAGCAGTACATGGAAACGTCGGAAAACGGCCACGAAGTGGACGATGATTTTAACGGAGCCGGCCAGGAGGGGAACGACGGCAGCGCGGAGAACGAGTGCGGAGAGGCTGCGGGGCCCGATGCGGACACCGACTCGCAAAACGGCGGCACCGAGGGAGGCCAAATCGACGCCAGCAAAGGCGAGGAGGACGCCGGGTGAGTTCGTGGCGTGTAATTTTATGCGTCTGTTAAAAAATAAACTCGTTTTTATTAAAGCCAATTTCCGTTTTCCATGTTTCTTTGTTCAACCGGCCTTTTGTTGGCGCCATGTGCAAAGCAGGGGGGGGGGGATGGGCACCTCTGGGGATTACGTTTAACAGTATTTCTTGAGGATAAAAAAGGATGGAGATGCATGTTTGCCCTAATATGTAGTGCACATTTTCAATTTATTGGCTAATAATTGGAAAACATATTATAGGGCTGCAGCACAAAGGGTGTCCTCCATAAGTCACTGTCAACAGATGTTCTGGAACAGTGTGTCCATAATGTATATTTACAACCCTGGCCCCCTCTTCCTACCCAACACATCCCTTGCCACTGCATGTAGCTTAACGGTTCCCATTTTTGTGCTTAGGAAAATGTTTGTTGGTGGCCTCAGCTGGGACACAAGCAAGAAAGATCTCAAAGATTACTTCTCAAAATTCGGCGAAGTTTCAGACTGCACCATCAAGATGGACCAGCAGACAGGCCGGTCAAGAGGCTTTGGCTTCATCCTATTTAAAGATCCAGTCAGTGTAGACAAGGTGAGCAGCTGGAGATCTGGGCATTTGAGTGGTGTCTTTACTTGAAAGCAAATGGGTCTCATTGGAATTAGAGTTAATATTGAATATGTTTTTTGTTTATTTTTTACTTTAGGTTCTTGAACAGAAAGAGCACAGGTTAGATGGCCGACAGATTGACCCCAAGAAAGCCATGGCTATGAAGAAGGAACCTGTCAAGAAGATCTTTGTGGGGGGCCTTAATCCTGACACATCCAAGGAAGTAATTCAAGAGTACTTCGGCACCTTTGGAGAGGTACAGCAATCTACAGATGTTCAATTTGATTTAGGGATTCAGTCAGTCTTTTATTGGCCTCTTCACCCATTTCTTTCCCTCGTTTGTAGATTGAGACCATTGAGCTGCCACAGGACCCAAAGACTGAGAAGAGGAGGGGATTTGTATTTATTACATACAAAGAAGAAGCTCCTGTCAAGAAGGCCATGGAGAAGAAGTACCACACTGTTGGTGGAAGCAAGGTAAAAGGACCTCACATTTTCCCACAAGTGATGAGTGTGAGGCTTGTGAATTCAAGAAGAGTAATTGTTTGTGCTTTTGCAGTGTGAAATTAAAATCGCCCAGCCCAAAGAGGTCTACATGCAGCAGCAGTATGGTGCTCGTGGATACGGGGGCCGTGGAAGAGGACGTGGAGGTAGGCACCTTCTTTGTGTGTTTGTGTGGTGTCGGACTCGTGCCTTAGCCTGCTCTGTACCATATGTGACTGCCTGGTTCTGCCGTGACTGAATTGTGACAAAGGCCTCGCATGTTGTTTCCAGGCCAGGGACAGAACTGGAATCAAGGATACAACAACTACTGGAACCAGGGATACAACCAGAACTATGGTTATGGACAGCAAGGCTACGGATATGGTGGCTATGGCAACTATGACTACTCTACTGGTTATTACGGCTATGGGGGTGGCTACGATTACAGTAAGCGATAAGTGCCCCCAGGGAAAGAAACAGAATGAGAGAACTTTTATTTTCTTGGTCCTCCTTGTTGTACAGAAGAACTCAGTCCCTTTTTCTCTTGTCCTCCAGACCAGGGCAATACAAGCTATGGGAAAACTCCAAGACGTGGAGGCCACCAGAGTAGCTACAAGCCATACTGATCACACATAGTGCAGGTATGCATTCTTGCATCATCCGTGGTAGTATGAGAAAATAGCTATAACCATTAGTGCCTTTTGACCCCAAAGATCTCCATCTACTCTAAATCCATTCAAGCATTGTGGTGGGGTTAGGGTAGCTCGTGATGTGGGGTCTGTGCTCATTAAAGATGGATCCATTCCACCTGTCAGCCATCTTGAGATGCATCTCTGCGAAGACTACTTGATCAGTAGGAACTTAGTCGGTGGATGTTGAAAACAGGATTGAGGGCCGTTTCATCTTTCACCAGGGTGCTAGGTGTCATAGCTAGCGGTCGTGTCCCCCCCCCTCCGCCCCCCCAAAATTGTGTCTGTCCATTCACTGACTCGTCAAACTCATTCATGCACCTGTCTGTCTTTGAGTATCTGCATGCCACATCTGGTCTATTCTCAGTAACGTAAAGCACCGTGTTTTTCTCTTAAGGTCTAAAGTAAATAAGAAAAAGAGATCCATGGTCTGACCACAGCGAACATGGACTCTGGCTTTTCCTTTGGAGTTGGCAGAAATTTGGACTCATGCTCCATTTGTACAGATCAAGTGAGGAACTGGGGAAGCAAATGTCACTTTTCCACTTTTTATTTTATATTGTTTTGTGTCCATTTACATTTCCAGAGATGGAAGTGTTATTTTTACTGTACTTTTTGGTACCTTTTTTGAATCTAATGTATTGTATGGTTGTATTTTTACATGTCTACTGGATTACAGATGAAAAGGAGCAAGAGCTTTTAAAGCTCACACATAAAACAATGTTGCTTTTTTTTTCTTTTTTTTCCTTTTGATGTTTCTAGATTTTTAGTTTCCCATGCTGAGTGTTGGATGCAAATTGCATGGCTTCAGATGTGGGGTGAGGTGAAATAAGGGATTAAACTAATCAAAGGGTTCTTTGTCAGAGTGTCAAGTTAATATTGCAAATGGCCTTGTAGACGAAGACAACCAGCAATCCTTTTGTTCATTTTGTGTTGTTTTTTTTTCTTTTCTTTTTTTGGGCTTTTAAGGAGGTTCTTTCCCCATCATGTCTGCAATTTTAAGTGGCTTTACTAGTGTAATTCAACTGAACGCAAGCCTGTTAATGTAAGAGGGTGCTCCCTCTGTCACTGGAAACTCATTCCTCTAGTGTCTTGGGCAAATTGGTAGAAATAAACTTTTGGTTTATATTACACACAGCTCTTTTTGTTATTATTTGTAAAGTTAATGTTAAATGTTTTGCACTGTTAAATGGCTTGCTTGTTTTGTCTCAAGTAATGTTAACATCTCCACGGATGCCTCTTTGGGAAGCTGTGGGAGAGGACCTCACTGCCTGCAGGATTACTGGCTCAGTGTTAATACCCACCCCACTTAATGTGATACTGCAATACTTGAGCATTTTTGTGAATGTGTCCATGAGTTTAAGATAGTGGTCTGGTAAGTGCTGAACTCACACCTACTGTGTACTGAGAACATGTGGATCAGTGTTCAGTTGAGGCTGGCTATTTAAGTGACGGCCGCTGTGGGTAAAGAAATCTTAACACTTTTAAAAAAATTATTTAAAATTTATTTAAATCACATTTCAGTGTTACACCATTTCAGGTGCAAACTGTGGCATCAAGTAAATAAATGCCAGGATGCATCTTGTACAAAGTTGATGCTAAGAACACCTGAAGCAGATTATATTAAGACGGCTCCAACTGAATTAAAACAGAACCTTCGGAATCCATTTTCATCCCCTTAGATTGGAGATTTGGTAGTGATTGCCTTGTCATTCGGACTTTTACTTCTTAAAGGAACAAATTGAAACCCCACAGTGGTCAGTGTTCATCCAAGTGAAGCTGTGATGGACTGCAGCCTGGAACATAGATATTGATATCTCTACCTCTGAACTTTATGAATGTGACCACCTGACAATGTTTGATGCAATTAAAGGTTTTTTACAGGTTTAACAAACCTTTAGATGTCTTCATTTTCCAGTTTCAGGTCACTGGTTTTAATTTCTGTGAAAACAAAGTTTGAGTCAGTGTTGATTAATTCTATAGAGGGCAGACTTTTACAGATCAAACATTGTTTAAAGGTTTTGATACATTTTATTTGTATCTAGTATAATTGTTCTATTTTTGCCACCAACCTGTGAGGATACGGTCGATACACTGAACCACCAGCTCCGCATCATCCATGCTGAAGCACATGGGAGGTTTAAACTTCAGGACATTCTCCCAGGGGCCATCAGTACTGATACAGATTTGGTCCTCCTCCTTTAACCTATTTGAAAGATTACATAATGAATCTCGGTTGGTAGTTACACCTCTGTGGGTCCTTATATTGTTATATCATACTTTTTCATCACCCATGCAGCCGTTTTAGTGGCGGGAGTCTTCTCCCCTCTGTTTGTAACCAGTTCGAGTCCAACAAACAGTCCAACACCTCTGTAGAAATAAAAACATTTTCCCTGAGTAATGTGGAACAGAGGGGCACAAGATGATTTTTTAAATACATCTATACCATCACCATGGTTGCACTTTTGAAGATATCTACACATCAAATACTGAGTGTTTAGGTGTGGATCAAAATGACACTTCATGTTGTGGTGTCCTGGATCATGAGAGCTGTCAGATTTCTCTTGTGTAACTGTTGAAAGCTTGTAGACGGTCAAATGGACATTTTATTACCAGCTACAACAAGGTTAGTCTTAGCTATATTCTTACCTGACATCTCCAACTACTTCATGTCTTGCTTGTAGTTGTGCGAGCAGATCTTTAAGATGGGCTCCCACCTTTACGGCGTTCTCTCTGAGGTGCTCCTCCTCTATCACATCGAGCACTGCCAGGCCAATTGCACAAGACACCGGATTGCCTCCAAACTGGGTTTAGTAGGAGAAAAATGATATCACATGAATTTTTGTTCAGTGGAAATGTACATGTTCACTGTGTGGTCAATATAACTTGGTTTTTGGAAAGCAAAGTTTCATTAATAGAAGTTTAGCAGAAAATTGCAAATTGATATCTTATGAATCCAGAGCAGTACTATAGTCACCGTGTTGAAGTATTCCACTCCGTTAGCTGTGAAAGCTCCAGCTATCTCCTGAGTAGTGACCACACATGCCAGGGGATGCCCGTTGCCCATCGGCTTGCCCATGGTCACAATGTCCGGACAGAATTCCTCCCCTTGAAGCTGGAAAGCCCAGAAATGACTTCCCACACGCCCAAAACCTGTCTGCACCTCATCTGCCACAAACACTCCGCCAGCTGAGTGCACATATCTGCGTAGAGTGTGGGGGAGATGCACCACGTCACCAGAGCAGCGCACGGGGTGCAGACAAACAGAACTGAATCATTACTCACTCTGCAACTTTGGAGGAGTACCCTGGCGGCAAGATGATTTGTCCTCCAACACTTGGCAAAGACTCGGCAAAAAAGGCAGAGATCTTTAGGGAAAGACAAATAAATAGGTAGCAGCAATGTAGAAGTTTGGATTTGTGTCATTGTCAGTTATTCTATTATGGATACGTGGAGCTGTGTTAGAGTACCTTGCGACCTTTCATGTGAATCTCCTCTATCAGGTGTTTCACGGTGTTGGCATACGCTTGGCCAGGGTTGGGGTGATCTCCTCCATATTGGCCTCTGTAGGTGTCTGGTAAAGGTGCCTGGGAGGATAAAACTTGAACTGTCAGACGTGCAGTGGTCCACTGTTGGTTTGCAATGAATGTAGTAACAGCTGTGTGAGCATACGCACCACATGAACCCAATCTTTCTGTCCTGTCAGTTTCCGGAACTTGTAAGGACTAATGTCGATGAGGGACATCAGATGCCCGTGGTATGCACTGGTGCGGAAGGAGGGTTCAGTATAACTTATAGTGTAAATCTACTGCCAGTGTGAATTGCTCATACTAAAGATGAAAACTTACTGGTCAAGCACTATGACGTCCTCATGTTGGGTGTACTGTTGGGCCAAGCGTAGGGCAAGATCATTGGCCTCTGAACTGTCAAGAGACACATGATCATTGGAAAAATAATTCAGGGATCAGAATCAGAAATACTTTAATAATCCCAGAGGGAAATGATTTAACCCTGTGTGAATGTGGGTGCATTTCCTACCCAGAGTTAACAAAATAGAAGACACACAGTTTCTCGGGTAGGGTGGAAGCCAGTCGTTCAGCATACAGAACAATGTTGTCATGCAGGAATCGTGCATTTGCGTTCAGGAGGTCCATCTGTGATGCGGCAGCCTTTGTTACTGCAGGGTGACAGTGACCCACTGGAAAGCAAGGATACGGTTACTATCGCTTTATAGCTTCCTGCCAATATGGAGGCAGAGCTGTAAAAGGACAGATTTTCTAAAGCAATAAGCATGAACTATGTAATGAATATGTCACCATGTTGGACGTTACTGATGCAGTCTAAATAGCGTTTGCCACTTTCATCGAATAGATACTGCCCTCTTGCTCTGATTATTTTCACGGGGTCTTCTGAATAAAACAGCCTACACGACTGTCTGTAATCGAAAAATGAATACGTGTCAGCAACATTTGCGCAATTCATCCATCATTTAACATGTAGAAGATATATTTCGCGTACCCGATTAACTTGTGTCTCATAGCCAAAGTGTCTTTTTTCTTTAGCTTTTGTTCCGCCATTGCGCCTTCTGTATATCACTGTATTTTACGTAATTCAAAATTAAAGGAATAGAAAAACAACAACAACATCTGCTAACGTTAAACTAAACTATTTAGCTAAGTCTCACATGTAAACTGTGTAGCTACGAGTCTAACACGCATGCGTTAGCAGCAGTTGGGTCAGCTCATTATCAGATATGTCTAATGTTTCTTTATCTTATTACAAACATTGGTAGATCGTATACAGTTTACAATATCATAATTATCACTCAATATATTTACATTAAACAAACGTCGACGGTGACACTTTGAACTCGTTTTTAAGTTTGTTTGCTGTAGCTTTATTCAGAATGGCCCAACTCCAGAACCATTACGGGGACGGAGACAAGCATATCAAGTCAAACTTGTGCGGAACAAGTAAAGGTTGATCTTATAGTATATGGATTAAACTAATATTGATACATTATTTGTGTTAAGTAATCATTTTTGTGCTTCCTAAAACTGCGATGTGTGAAGCTATGTCAGTGAAAAACCTCTATAATGGTACCGTCCAGAGACTACAAATACCCACTCTGACAAACGTTTGCCCGGCGCATTCACTCTGCCGCCTGGTTGCTAAGGAAACACAGAAAGCAGGTAATGCATCAGGTCAGCTGTAGCATGCTAGTTTTCACAGAGGCTGTGTGACCAAGCTAGGAGCCATTAATATGGAATAGGCGTATCCGGACCAATTTTATCAGCTACTTGCTGTTATGACTAGTTGACAGGCAGAATTAAGTGGTGGAAATGTAATAAAACGACGCCAATTTTTAAGATTGATATACTTCCTAACCAGCTAATGACTAGATACCCCACGGGCTACATCGTGTTATTCGGTTAGCTTACCATTTACCATCCTGCTCACTAGCTACAGTCCGTCTATTTTTTTTTCTCCAGAAAATCTTGCATTATCATAATTGCTAAATTCTCTTTAAGACATCATTGGAGCTGACGTTTTGACATGTATTTTAACGAATGAACACAGCCGTTCTTTTTTCTGTTAAAAATATGAGAACTGCGCAGTAATGTGTTGATCAACTCGTTTGTGTGCACGTTTATAAATCAGTTGATATCAGGTCAGAATTATTTAAGTAAACCAACGGATTAACTATTCTTGTCATCCAACAATTTAGATAACAAGTTTTAATGAATTATTTCTGATATTGTGTTAATTGATCTCAGCGATACGGTGTAGCTTACAACTAGTTAGTGACTGGTGACAGCACTGTTTTCCTTATGATATGGGATTCTGGGTTTTATTTCAGAGTCCAAGTTTGACCCTTGGGTAGTTTGCCTTCTGTGGCATGTGGTACTAGGCTAACATTTTAGCTTCGTGTTTGGCATAAAGAGGAAGGCCCTGGAGGCCACATCTGAATGGCAATAGTGCTGTAACTAAGTCTCATCAGTAAATGATCTAAATGTCATTAAATGGGTTCATTATGAATCTGGCACTATATCGGTTGGCACAATTTATACACTGATGATGGGATTGTTTCCAGTACTAGATGTACTTTAGCCTTTGCACTCTGAGACATGAGTACAAAGGCAAAAAGGCCATGTTACATTTTAATACAGCAGAGTTTATAATGCCTCCATTTCAGTTTGAGATGTTCCACATTTTCTGTCAACATTTTTGCAGGGAGAGTTTATTTTTGCCCCATTTTTCCCTTGGGTTTCAAAAAATAGGCAAGCACAATCTAAACTTTTCAAAAAGCAGTAGATTTGGCAATTACGAAATTTCAAAAGCTATGTCTATTTGTATATACAAAAATGTGCTGCTAAATTTGATACATGCAAACTTGTGGTCTACTGCTCTCTGGGAACACAGCATTGCTTTGGCTGTTAAATTTTAGTCCATGCGTCTTGGTCAGTCGTCTTTTGTCTCCCCCCTACTCTCCCTCCCTCGCAAAGATACTATGGCATGCTTCCAACCCCTGTCCCATTCATTTTTCACACACTTCCCCCATCCTTTCTCCTTTAGTTTGTTCCTCCCCCTTCTATTCTTTTGACTACTCACAACTCTTGGCATTTATTGGACCCAACTCAACTGACTGCCTTTGTTGTATCCTATAAGTTTTAACTTGGTAGATATTCTGGTTTGGTTATATATATTGTATTGGAGTTTTGATAGTTTTTTTTGTAACATTGCTCCCTCTTTACATGATGGAATGTGAAGTGCCTCTTTGTTCCCAGTCCTACTTTCATGTGTGGCCCCCCTTTTGTGAACATGAACTTCTACCTTTCATATGTGACTAAGACAATACATAAATCTCTTTTAGGCATGTGGGTAAAGATTTGTCAGAAATGTGTCAGTGTTTTGGCTTTCTATTCCTAATACTGTGGCCTGTCCAGTGACATGTAAGATCCAGTTGCAATGTTCTCATCTTTCACAGGCTGCATTCATTACTGCAAGTATGGTAATCTTTTATCATCTGTCTTTTTTTTTTTAGGTGGAATAAATGTGATGATGATGATAATGAAGGTATAGTGCAGAAACTGGTCAGTCTGGCTGGTTGGGGTGTGGAGGGGACACCGCAAACCAAGCCAGGATTCTGACTACTAAAAATTTTCACTACCCTCAGTGAATCTCCCATCTCCATGTGTCTCCTTGGACTGCAATTATGGTTACACTTATCACAGAACAGCTCCGTAAGCAGAGTTTGGACGAACCTTATCACAAGGCTTTCTCATTCAATGCCAGCGTGGTGAGTTGGATAATGAAGCTAAAAACTGTCCTTAAAACTAATTTGTTTTTATGGATTTTTGTTGAAACAAATGTTCGCATTTGTCACAGTCACTACCGGCCGTGGGCTCCAGTCCGACCATCTCATGGAGTGCTAATAGAACAACGCAAGGCAAGTTAGAATATTTAGGAGTTTTAGATAACATGGCCATATTGCTAATGTTTACATTTTTGTATTTCCAGAGACCAGTTCAGCCACCCACCTTCCATCCAAAGCACATGTTTTGGCTAACTCTTGTGAACTAGACTCTGTATGGCCTCCCTCACACTCTGGAGAAGACTTCCGGAGACCAGAGGCTGCTTTTACAGACAAAGCTTTTCAAAGTTCACCCCCACCGCCTCCGAAACGCCACTGCCGGTCTCTCTCAGTTCCAGAGGATCTGTCTCGTTGCCGCTCCACCTGGCATCCCAGTGCATCAAAGGTTTGGACTCCAGTCAAACGAGGCTGTCCTAGTAGGGGGGCATCTAGTTCGGGCTCCGGAACCACGTCTTTGCCACCTTGTGGTCCCAGTTCGTCCTTCACCTCCTCCATACACTCTTCTTCTAGCCCTACCTTCTTTAGTTTGGCACTGTCATCTGACTCCCCTTTATCTTGGAGCTTCCCATGGGATCCACTCGACGCATTGAAAGGAACTTCATCCGCCTCCTTTGCCACTCTTTCCTCATGCTCTTCTTCACCTGCCCCCCACCTTTCTCACTCAGTGCTGCAGCGCCGCTTCTCCCTGTCCCCCGTGCACATTCAGAATGTCTCCGGGGCGTCCCTGCACACTCAGCCCCCCGCTGCTTCAGCACTGACATTTGGCTTTTCTGGCCTAGAGCACACAGCCTTGTCTCCATCTCCCACTTCAGCTTGCAGTACACCATCCACTTCTAGGCGCGACCTGCACCCTGCACTACCGCGATGCCACTCGCAGCCCTGCGACATGCGCAGACCTCGCTTGAAGAGGCGCCATGACCCAGATGTTCTGCCCTGCCCCCGACCAGGCCTGGACTTCAGCAAGATGACTCAGGTTAGCGAAAAGTGGGTGGTACAGGAATCCAGTCTGTCGTTCTCCCTTGTTGCAGCCTATACTGTTCTCCGGTAGTGCTCTGGGCATAGTTGAGACAAATTAAATAACCTCGGGGTGTTGCGTAATAAGCCCTTTGGGAGTCTGTTGCAGAATTCTACAGTATTAAGAGTATAACTTTTCATGTGCTGTTAACTAAAATTCATTCATTCAGTAAATCTAATTGTATCATATAAACAAGTTTATTTCATTCATTGATGTTTTGGTGTTTTTATTTGATTTGTTTTAACAAAAAAAGTATTGTCTTATTTTTTCTTTTGTATGAAACTGGGGGTGTGTATGACTTTATCACCCCAACCTCCACCCCTTAAAGGATTGTCACATGACCGCTGTTGTTTCTGTTCTGTAGATCGGTAATCGTGAGAGCCTGTTGTGTGGAACGAGCGGCTGCATATTTCCTGTGTCCTCACAGGCAGAGCAGCGCTTAACCTTCTCCCCTGAATTCCTGGGACGAGCCAGCATTGGACCCTTAAGTGAAAGTGAAGAAGAAGAAGAGGATGAGGAAGACGAAAGAAAAAGAACAGAAATGGAAGTGGGCAGCAAAACTGTGTTTGAAAGAGACTGCACAGAATTGGACCTGAACCTAATAGAAGAGAACTGACTCTGGTGCTCCCTGTGTGACTACTGCATTCATAAAAATATAAAGCACACCTGTAGGCTTTGTGCTGTCAACTGGCAGAGGCCTTGAGAACTTGCTGCTCACACAAGGCACATATCCTGAGTTCCTAATTAAGAGCCAAGCAAGTACAAGCTTGTGTGGAACCTGCATCGCTATGGTTGTAACATTTAAGCTAGTTCACTGTTCAGAGCTTCAGAAAAACGTTTGTGCCTGCCTGTTCAGCAGTAATGGGAAATGCGCATGAGCAAATAAGCAAGTTTTCATGTGCAGACTTTAGTCTTAATTAACCATTGGTATGCATCTCGATAGTCTTACATACCCATATCAGAACGCTATGTATGTGAGTAAAAAGAAAGTTCTTAAATGCTCCAGATGTTTACTGCTGCACACAAAAAATCCGGTAGTCAAGTGACTTGAAGGACCATTTTTCGGTACCCAATCAGATCCCCCTTTAGACTGCTTTTAGGTTTTGATTCAGATTTTGGTAAATGGGAGCTGTTGACGGTTGGCTCGATAATTTGATGGGTGTGTCAAAATTCTACTGAGGTAGCCTAAACTGTATGATGATCCATATCTTGTTGCTGTCTGTTCAACAGCTTACATTCTGGTGTTTATTTATTTATTTCGCCACATGAACATGCAGTTCTACATTAACATACTGCATTCCCTAGCCCTTAACCATCACAGCTTGATACCTAGCCCTGAACCATAACCGCAACCTCTAAACTACGTCTTACTCCTCAATCACTTTGCACCCATTCGGATCAAATTTCCCCCATACATTTCTGTGCTTTTAGGTTTTGCGTCACTATAATAATATGAAACACATCTACTTGAGGGTTGCTCCCTTGGATAAAGTCTTAATTAGCAAAGGGAAGTTCCTATTTTGAAATCAGAATTCCATCCATCCATTTCCGTAACTGCTTATTCCCATTGGGATCGCAGGGGAACTGGAGCCTATCCCAGTATTCAATGGGCGTGAGGCGGGCTACACCCTGGACGGTCCCCCACACAGAGACACACAAAGACGGACAACCATGCACTAATATCAGAATTGATTTGGGCTATTGTTGGAATGTCTCTTTGAACAGCCACACACCTTACCAACAGTCACACTGATGATACTGTTAACTTACCATGCCTTAAGTCTAAAGAGTTGTTGGTGCTCTGGTCTTCTTTTCACAGCCAGACACTTTTGCAGTCTCCATTTGCACTGATTCAGATATTTTTGAATGTGTGGAACGTGTACTGGGATATTGAGCAGAATAACTGAATCAGTGCCACAGCTGGACTCCACAGGGCACAATATAATGTACTGTACAGCGGTTAGACTGAGTGCACATGTCCAGCCATTCGAGTGAATGTAAAAGGCTAGAATGAATCACATGATTTGGTGGCCTTTTAGAGAAGTTTTTTTCATGTTTTCAGATGGAAATATACTTGTTGCACAATTTATGTATGAATAAATTTAATAGAATTTTTTTTCTCAAAAAGTGTCCTGTCTCTCTTTTGAAAGTAATCCATCCTGCTGGTAGGTTGGAGTGCAAGCACATCACAGTGTGAGGTTAATGTGACACCTAGTGGTAGGGGGAAATATGTTTGTTGCACAAACACTTGGTTTTCAGTTCATACTGACTCCACTAGTGTAGTATACTCGTATGAAATTAAACTTTTGGATCAATCCCCCCCAGCCCCCTAGTTTTGTTTTTTCTAAATATATATTAGAAGGGAAGAGAGGACCTGATATACAACAACCAAAATGAGATTTTTAAAAACACAAAAAGAAAGGATGAGTACCAATAATCTCAGGCAAATTAAGAACAAATTCTAATTAAATTAAAAATTCAATCAGTATAAAATGAAGTAAAGTAAAATAGATGTACATGTTTTTTTAAAGTTGTTAAAGGGTTACTAAGACATTAAAAATATAATTTAGACGGAAGGAGACAAATCATGAGCAAAAAAAAAAAAAAAAAAGCTTTGTTGTTTGTTTACTCATTTCTTGTTTGGATCCCGGTTGGGTTTGGCTAGTTTTGATCGTTTATGGTCCCGGACCTGTTGTCTCCTGATCTTCCATAGTGTAATTCTGTTTTTAACTTTTTTTTAAAACTTCTGGATGTGTGGGTAAAGAACAGTGGGCAACTTTGGGTGCTAAAGCACGCTGCGTCGCCTGTCTTGCATGTCTTCGTGGCTCCGCCGTGGAAGGTGAGGGCGCTCCTTCCAGCACATGGACGCTTTTTTACAGACTGTCTGACCCCCTCATCAACAAGCCACTTCCTCTTTTGTCTAATTTCATGGCGATCGGGAGAGAGGGAACACCACCGACGCACGCATACTGTCTCAGCACTCCTGAAAGAGTTTATTCGGGGTAAATAATTGTAAATATCTGTGCTTTATTTGCTCATAGGTTGACAAAGTGCGCCTGATTGAGTGTAATGACGTCGCAGAATTCAATTTCTTAGCGAATTGATCATTAGTTTAGCTTCTGGGTCAGATATTTCACATTGTAGCGCCACTCGCTGATAACAAATCGGACGAAATGGGCTCCCCCTCCGCCTACATCTCACACACACTCAGCGGCAAACTACTTAACGGCGCTGGCTAGCTAACGTTAGCCACGCCACAGCGCCTCACTAATATAGTTATAGAATGAGTTATTCTGACACATTTAACAAGTTAATGGCAACAGCTTGGCACAAAATGTTGGTTTTGTTCGACGGTTTGTAAAATGCGAAGCTTTATTTTAAAAAACAGTCACTTGTTGTCTTTCAACGTTTGTGTTTGAGTTAGCAAGACACTATCGGTAGCAAGTTACCATACCATGTATTTGGTGGACTCGGATCGCTATTCAGAAGTTATTTTTTCAAAACTCGGCTAAAAATGGGCATGCTACGACTCACACAGCAGATGGTAGCATACATAGGTTTAATAACACGATGTATCCTCTGGACTTATCCAAATGTACCAACATTTACTAAAGATACTCAAATGACTCAATGTACTAGAAACGGGCTAGCTAACTCTATCGGCTAAATTGTTGGATAACGGTTACTTTAAAATTGAAGCTTTCGCTTGTAATTTATGGACTGCTTGGACTATTATTCGCAATTCAAACTGACAATTGACTGTTTAAATGTTTTTAAACATTGTTAAATATTTTTTTGCTAATGGTGATATAACTTTTAGCCAAACTAATGTCAACAGTGTTAAGCGAACATCTGCAGTTCAAACTACTTAAGAAAACCTGTCTTTAGAAGCGAAAGGATTTTTTTTCTCTTTTCATTTATATTACAAATTTCATGTTGTTAATATGAATTTAAAAATTCATAAGATAAAAGTACCTGTTGCAAAATGTGCAGTGGCTATTGGTTACATAGATGTCTTTTTTAAGTTATTTTTTCTTCCATTACCGTTTCTGAACTGGGGAAAAAAATCAGCAGCATTTGCATGAAATGTGTGTATATGTATATGTATATATAGTAGTTCTTTGCTAAATAAGGAGACTATATTGATGTAAACTATCTGACACGAGTTTGTCTTTTGCTTTACTTTCAGTTTAATCTAAGTTGTCAACCCGACTGGCCCACCAGAAATTCATCTACAGGTAATTCCTTTGTTGTTCAGTTAATAACTGAACATCTAAAAAATGTAAATGTAGAGGAGATGTAAAGAAGTGTAAGAAATGTGAGTACTGTAAACACTATGAAAATATTGAAGATATAAAATCCTACAGGATTCTGTAGAAATATGCTCCACTGCAGAGAAATTAATTTGTGGAGTGAACAGAGCCAATAGAGGACTGTGAACAGTGTTTTCACTCAATCAGTCTAAAAAATTACATCTTTCTGTTTGGCTATTAATTTAAACACACTGAAATAAAGCTAAGGCGTCTCTTTACATTCAGGTCATGTTTGAAAAAAGAATGGGCTAAATGTAAATAACAATTAACTCTATTATATAGGAAAAAATGAAGAAGTGCAGTCTGTCATTTCAGTAGCTGATGAGTTGGATTCCAGGTGCACAATCAAAGGCAAACACGTGTTTGTTGTTCCAGCACTACAGCCGTAGTCAGTGAAGCTGAAAATATAACCGTAAAGGAACACCTCCCATTTACCCAAATCCATTGTATCGGTGAAAACTTTGGACTCTGAGCACTGAAAAGCTGGAGTTTGTGAAGAGGACTAAACGTCATCTTTCATGCCCGCGAATCTCATTCTCAGCTTCACATAGAGGGTACCACAGCAGAATCACTCCCTCATATAAAATGTTTTTAGAAGCACTGTCCTCCCCTTTGGATATCTTTTGACATTTATTCAACTTAACATAAACATATTTATTTTAGAGAAAATGACACAAATTCCTGACCAATGAAACTTTAAAAGTCCATTGCGTGACAAATGATATTTGTTTAATTCTTCCTTTTAAAACTCTTAATCTCCTCTTTATTTTTATTCATTAAAAACTATTATTCTTTTGGAGCAAACATTCATTCATTCATATTTTCTTGTATAAACCAAGGACCTACAAATCAACCATAACTCCATCACCCATCCCAGGTGGTGACCCTGCGATGGGTGGTGGAGTCAGAGGATATGTAAATAGAATATGCAGTGATGACATATGATTGTCTTAATGAATTTCAAATGGATGAATGAAATAAAACTTTAGTTCTTTGACGAGATAGGTTTGTTAATGTTCTCTCTCTATGAATCCTTGTGACATACAGTAACCTGTAATACATACTTATTTCCATTAATGAAAGTCTAGCTTAACAGGTAGTATTAGTGTCATAACAAGCATCCATGTGAGTTAGCCATAAGTATAGTCTTGTTAGGTTGGATCTTGTGACAATTAAATGCTGCTTTTAAAAGCGGCACAAGTCCAAGCATAATGGTCAATTTAAGGAATTGGATACACCAGTAGCTTAATCTGTTTTCTGGAGTAATTTGACAGATCCCATTGTTAGCAGCATCTTTCATACTTCCCTTACTCTTTAGTCCTCTTTTTATGCCATTTTTAGGTGCTTCTCCTTAGCTTTTTTCCCACCACACATGGGCCAAAAAACAGGAATAGCCTTAGCTAAATGCACCTCATCCTATGTGTAGCTTCTCTTTTTTTTCTGTCTGACTCGCATCAGACAAAGAGCCAGAATTAGAGGCCCTGAACCCAGTTAAAGAAAAAGATCATGTTTTTCTACGGTGTACTGAGCTTGTTACTGTCAGCACAGTTTAACCTTGACATGTCAGGGGCCACCAACAATCATTTTATGGCACTGTGTTCACTTAGCTCAAACACGCAGAGTGATTTTTCTCTTCTTTTTTCATCCATCAAATGTTCGACTGTTTTATACGGTCTAACAAGCCCTTGCCAAGGTAATGTTATCAGTTGTGGTAATATGATATTTTAGGTGAGATAACATATTTTCTCTTTGTGTGTTCAGTTGATTCTCAGTGGTCATAACTGAAGCGGCCGTGCTAGCACTTGGATCTGTTTCTCACCGTCCCAGGTTAAGACTGCTTGGTCTATGGCTCTGATGGACAAACACAAACAGGTCAAGCGACAGAGACTTGACCGCATCTGTGAGGGTAAGACAGCAAACTTCTTTTAAGTCATCTTTGACTTGAATTAGCAATGAGGAAATAATCTCAGATGGGTATTTTTCGTGAGTCCTTTTGTGGTTCCTTTTAGATGTGACCTTGATTTCTATTGACAATATTTTGTTGTTGTTTTTTATTATCATCGTTTTTTTTAATTATCTCACACACCTCTCTTACTTTCTGAGTCAATGATAACAGTTTCTCTAAAATAAATTAGCTGTTTCTCACATAGAAAATGGCAGATCATCAGTGAACCCTGTATTGCTGGTATATGCAGTTAGTTAAAGTGGATGATTCTGTAATAGACAGTATTTTGAGCTATTGTGGAATGATCATGGTGATCAGACATAATGGTGCACCAAAATGGAGGGAACAATCTGTGAAAGTCTCTGGAGACCAGTGAAAGGTTGCGGCCGAGGCTACAGGGAAACGGGCCAGCTGTCTCTTTAAAAAACGACAACAGCCCAAACCGCCCTCGGCCTGGCTTCGGCTATGCTAATGAGGTTAGTGCTGGTTGGCTAGCTCTCAATGGAGCTGCCTGTGATTGGAGGCTGACCGTGGGGGAGGGTCTGAGTGTGGATGACAGCTGGGATCCAGTCAGCCAAGAGCAGGCTGGCAACGAGAGAGGGAGGAAAAAAAGAGCGAAAGAGGGAGAGAGGGAGAGGAAGACAGGCTAACAGACTTCATAATGCAAGGTTAGGCCCGGTGCTCATGTGTTTTTATTATTTTGGCATGTGTTTTTGAAATTTGTGAACTGTGTGGGGAGATGTACGGTTTGGGTGTGGCGCAGTTGTGTGTGGGCAGTTTCCCCTTGTTTGTGCGTAGTGGTGGTGTTGCTGCCGTTGAGAAGGAACTGAATAAGCGTGTGTGTCTAGCTGCGTCTGGGTGGAGTAGTGCTGCTTGCTGCATTATCATCGTCTGCTGCCCCTCCCCCCTCACCTCTTACTCTTAACTACAGCCAGAGGGAGAGAAGGAGAGGAGGGAAAGAAAGGCAGAGGGAGGGAAAATGAATGAATCGCTGAATGAATTGCATTGTGTGTCCGGCCACGCTTGCTATTCGTAGGCCTAGAGTATGCCAATGTCCTTTACTCAAATTACTGCCTGTTTAGGCTTACTTGGTTGTATGCTTTTTTTCCGCGGGGGTCTTTGTAATGAGCCACTCTCGGTTTTTCTGCATTGCAAATATCTCTTTGTATGTTTTGTGCTTTTTAGTTGGCATGGTAGCGTTATTGAGCCATCTGCAATTAATGTTGAACCACACTGCTCAATAATGGAGTGGCTTCATTTGTATATTCTGTAAGGATACCAATTTGATTGGGCTGTGTCTTTGAGAGTGGATGCGTGTGTGTGTGTGTGCGTATGAATGTATGTATGTGTGTGTGTGTATATATATATATATATATATATATATATATACACATACACACGTGTAGACATAAAAAATCCTCACTCACTGCCTTGTTATCAAAAGAAAGGCTCAGATATTCGAGGAAGTGTTTACAAACTACAAATATTTGTTTCCCACCCTCAGCTGTTGGCTGCCTGTCCTCCTTAGCAGTTTCACCATTACATCCTGCCTTCCGTCCAAGTAAATGTTCAAGCCAGACGTTCTTCCCCCACCATGAAAAACACACCTGTCACACAGCAGCTACTAGATACTTTGCGCTTAAATGTTTTACTGTGTGCTGTCATAAATTTGGCTTTTTATGGCTTTTGTTTTCTCAGCCTTTTTTTCTGATTATTAATTTTATTTTTGGTACGATGTTTACTGGTCATAGTGCACGTGGGCCAAACGTGATGTTTGCCCACCGTGGTGTGTGTGCCTACTCGTACATGTCTGTAAACAGGGCGGGACCAGAGAAATTGGAAGGAGTGACTTTTTCTAATATGAGATTTGGGTCATGACTGAGAGCCCCCCTCCCTCCAGCCTCATGAACCCCCACCCTCCGCTTCCTAGAGACCTAGCAGTTTTCTTCACCCCTCCCCCAGCGGGAGCGCACCCACTCAGCCCCCTCCAGTGTGTCCCTGGCTAATACAGTAGGCAGGTCAAGTTCACAGAATGAACATTTAAAGGGCTCTGCTTCATCAACTTTTCCCCTTAAAAGAGGACTGAGATGATTTCATGATGGAGAATATCTCCGGAATGCGTTCCTAAACAGAGCTGTGGCTGAGATTGCCAGATTGCTGGATGCTAGCCATGCCCCATCACAAATTTGGTAACACATTACTTTTTTAACCTTAAAACCCATGTACACACTTACACTCATGGGACTTGTAGTTCCATAAAAGTGCTTGTAGATGCGTTGGAAAAAGAGAGTCATAGAAGTCCTGAGTTATTATTGTCTAAGGAGTGTGGCGCTTAGCCATGTTAAGTTTAGCCATGTGTACAGGGGGATTTTTAAAAAAGGGCGTGACGACTTTCATCTCGGTGAGTTGTCCAGACATGGGAAATGCAGACTCACTGACAGAGTCATTAACATTTCCTTTAACTTTACTGGTTGAGAAACACAAGTGGTTTAAAGGCTGTTTAAGGATTGTGGAAAAAATTCTGTTTGAAACTTTGCTTTTCATCCTCAGCACATAAGTAACGGTTTTCTTTGTGGTGGGCCTAGGTATCCGACCCCCCATCCTAAACGGGCCGATGCACCCGCGGCCCCTGGTAGCCCTGTTGGACGGGCGTGACTGCACTGTGGAGATGCCCATCCTCAAAGACGTGGCCACAGTGGCTTTCTGTGATGCCCAGTCCACACAAGAGATTCACGAGAAGGTCGTGAAGAAACGCCTACCCACACACACACATGCAAGCACATCAAAGTGTGAAGTGGAAGAACTGTTGGGGTCTTTTTATTGTTGTGTAGTGTGAAATACTTTTGCACCTCCTCCTCTTGTGTGAAGTTTGAACTTCCTACAACAGTTCATTAGATCAGTAACTGCCGTAGACACTGCATCCACCTTCAAACTCCTGGAAATGATGTGCAGTGTAGTGTGACGTGGATTCATAAACAGTCATTTGTCTTCTGTAGGTCCTCAACGAAGCTGTTGCTGCTCTGCTGTACCACACCATTACTTTATCCAGAGACGACTTGGAAAAATTCAAAGGGCTACGAGTAATTGTCCGGATTGGCTCTGGCTTTGACAACGTTGATGTTAAAGCGGCCGCTGAGCTCGGTGAGACGGTGAAACGCAGAAGATAACGTCAGTTAGCCGTCGGCCTTACCCACAATTGTTAATGCGTTCTTTCTGTTTTCCACTCATCTAGGTATTGCTGTTTGTAACGTGCCAGCATCCTCTGTGGAAGAGACAGCCGACACTTCGCTATGTCTGATTCTGAACCTCTACAGGCGAGTCACCTGGATGCACCAGGCCCTCAGGGAGGGAACCCGTGCCTCCAGTGTGGAGCAGATCAGGGAGGTGGCTGGTGGTGCCGCTCGAATCCGAGGGGAAACTCTAGGGATCATTGGTCTTGGTGAGTGAAGAGTGGTTGTTCAGCAGCTACTTTTCTATTCCTGTGAACCATGGTCATATTTGTATCTCATGATTTAAATTGGATTAATCTCTGTGGGTGTGGAAACTCTTATTCAATCTTAAACAAAAAGCCGCAACAATCACTGATGACATCACATCTCTTTTTGCCTGCCAGGGCGTGTTGGTCAAGCTGTGGCGCTGCGGGCCAAGGCCTTTGGGTTCGGTGTGATCTTCTATGACCCCTACCTGCCTGATGGCGTTGAGCGCTCTCTGGGCCTGCAGCGAATGGCCACCCTGCAGGACCTGCTCATCCACTCTGACTGTGTATCCTTGCACTGCAGCCTCAACGAGCACAACCACCACCTCATTAATGACTTCACCATCAAACAGGTGAGTGGGTACACTCTGAATGTAAGAGACAAAGCTCAGAACAAATGTTCCTGCTCTAAGAACAGACCCACTATATTTTGAGGTGTGGAGGTTAGATGAGATATGAATATGTCGTACTTGCATAGTCTAGCATAGAAAATCCTCTAAATGGCATATGTTGTTGTTTATAGTTTGGTAACATTAACAAAAATGGATCATATTTGCACACTCACTGTTTAAACCAGTTAAATGCAACCCAGTAACAAAGCGGCTGTTGGTGAGCTAATTTTATACTCAGCTTGCAGATCTTGTTTGTACTTTGCTAACGTTAACAGAGTCAGTAGGGGTAACTTTTCATCAGAGCTGTTGTGCAGAAATATTAGACCTCATTCACTTTAAATGCTGCTTTCTAATTAATATTTTTTTGTACTTTTATGTTTAATGGCCATTTTGGCCATTTTATTTTTCAAGTTAGTGTTTTGTTGATGAAAGCTTTGAATTAGTCCCCTGTCTCAGAAGTAAAGTCACGATCCTCCGCCAGGATCAATCTGTTTAGTTTCTACAATATCAGATCAGCCTAATTTTAATCTGAACATGTTATCAGAATCAGAAAAAAATGTCGTCCAGAATTTGTAATTCTGAAACATCTATTATCTATTATATCGTCTTGAAAGAGCATAAGAAGCCCCAGCTCTGCTAGGATAAGTCTTTTTTTTGTCCCCAGTATGCTAACATTCTGTAGAACATGACCTGGAACAAACCTCTATTTTAGACTTCAAGAGCAGACATGTTTATTGTGCCAGCTGGTGTTGGTCTGTACTTGTTCAATCTGCTGCAGATGCAAAGCCTCAACCTCCTGTAGCTAAAGGTCTGCTCCACTTTGATTAATCACATTAACACAGATGCGTCAAGGGGCATTCCTGGTGAACACATCCAGAGGCGGCCTGGTTGATGAGAAAGCATTGGCTCAGGCCTTAAAGGAGGGCCGGATACGAGGGGCCGCGCTGGACGTCCACGAGGCAGAGCCCTTCAGGTAACAAACAAAGTAAATGTGTATCTGCGTACAGGAGGTTTAACTTCCTTTTTGTACACTTTGAGGTAACATTCCCCCTCTTCAACAGTTTCACAACAGGCCCCCTGAAGGATGCACCCAACCTGATCTGTACCCCTCATACATCCTGGTACAGCGAGCAGGCCTCAGTGGAGGCTCGGGAAGAGGCAGCTAGAGAAGTGCGCCGGGCCATTACTGGTAAGTCCCAGTGCATTCATCATCATCGTCATCATCATCAAGTTGAATCCGATTTTAACTACTAAAAACACTTTGCTCATAAATACGGCTGTCTTTTAAAACATTTTTTTTTTTTAACACTGCACACAGTCCTTTTGTGATATTACTTTAGGTCATCCTGTGAGATCATTAGCTTTCACTTATCAACAGCCATATTAACTGGAATCTGTAACAATGTGTGGAGCTGCAAACGTCCCACTTTAACTGTTAAACTAATGACTTTGTAACTGCATAAACACGCTTCTATTAGTGTTTGGATGAGTACGGCGTGGCTCTGTTAAGCTGCTGATGAGGGCAGAGTTTCTTGAGAAATTAGTCTCCACAAAACTGAATTAAAGGCGCTAATAAGGCTGCTGGAACTTAGCTGTGAGAAACAACACCCATATTAGCCAGTTGAAACAATACATTCTCTGGAGTCACGTTGTAAATACTCATGTTATTTGGGGGTTGGCAGATGACAGTGGTTAAAAACAACAGTCATGAGATCCCCCTTTAAAATTTAGTTTTTTGAGGGTTATGACTTCTTTTAGGATTTAATGAACAATCCTGTATGTGTTTTTGTTTCTTAATTCTTTTTTTAGGTCGCATCCCCGACAGTCTGAAGAACTGTGTTAATAAAGAGTATCTGATGGCAGCCTCTCAGTGGTCCAGCATGGAGGCAGCTACTGTTCACCCAGAACTTAATGGAGCCACCTACAGGTGAGAGAAGTGGATGGGATGAGCTGACTGCGATAACACACGAGGCTGTCGGGAGGCTGAAGGCAGATCTTTGGATGGCTCTGGTATGATCCCTCTGCTTCCGTGTCAGATTTCCTCCAGGTCTGATCAACGTGGCAGCAGGGGGCCTCCCAGGGACTGGTGCAAATGTTGACAGCCTGGTTTCAGGAACCCTGGCGCATGGCATCGCTCCCGTCTCCCACCCCCCCCACGCCCCGTCCCCGGGGCAGCCCACTAAAGCTGAAGCCGACAGAGACATCCCCTCCGACCAATAGCCCCGCCCCCTTGCCGCCACCAGCACATTCCGTCATCTCTGGAAACCAAACCGCACCTCCCAGGATCAGACACATCCTGACCCTCCAGCGCACCGGCAGCCCCAGTTTGACCTGACGTGGATCTGCAGTTTCTGATCACACAACCAGCCCAGGAGTGACCTATCCTCAGCTAGCACCATCCCACCCACGCCCCTCCATCCTCATCCTCCCCAACACCCCTCCTGCTCCTCTCACCCGCACTACGTCAGCAATAATTGTTTTCTCAAGGATTCAGTGATTGGATTGGTTTAGTTCCTTAGTTGGCTGTTGTTTTAATGGAAAAAAATATTTTTTGTGGTTGTAGGTGTTAATGTTTTTTTTTTTTCTTTGTTTTTTTTTCTTTTAAAGACATAAATGTTTTTCTGTCACGAGGCGTTAGTATGCTGCCTCCTGCAGTCCTCTGCTGGCTTTGACCACAAGAGGCCCAGAGACAGAAAGGTTTTAAAGCCCCACTTTGTACATTAATGGCTCATGTTACTGCTCTCTTCTTCTTCTGTTCTTCTTTTTTCATCCTCTCCCTCTCTGCTCACTTCTTGATTGGTAAAAACTGCGTGCTGAAGTAAACCTGACAAGATCTTGTCCACCCCGCCTAACATCTAACGGCCCCGCAGCCCCCCCCCCCCCCCCTGACCCTGCTGTCAGCTCGCTCAGCGGGCAGGTCAGCGGGAGGCTCTCTAACTGTGACAGTGTCCTACCCGCTCAGCATGGGCTTGAGCGGTAAACCTTTTCCAGAGTGATGCCTAACGTTTTTCACCCTTTACTGTTGTCGTTTGTCCAGTTTGACCACTTTTGTCTCCCTAGTCACACATTGCTCTGACCCCCACCCTTCATAGTCGGTTTAGTTTCACAACAACGGCTAAGAGCACTATGTCAGCCTGCTGCCAGCACCCACAGAGCTGTGTGTGGACTCTGTGCTCCCGGTGCCCCCGGCAGAATGAAGCGCGGCGGCCTGCCAGCAGAGGGCGCCACCTGTCTGGCGGCTCCTTCATTTCAAACAGACGGACGGACGCAGGTTAGGAAGTCACTGCCGCATTTAAAAACGCGGGAGGGGTGGGGGGGGGATGACCTGGGGATCGACTACCGCCTTATTGTCTAAGATCTCAACGCACCGACCTTCCACCCCCCCCACCCCTCATTGCCCACCCCTCACCTGTGTTCATGAAACAGCATGCAGCCACCCATCCTTCAGGTGTGAGGGGACAGTGTGGGTCAGTTTCCCCATTACAGGGAAGGATACAGTGTTTTTGCATGCTGGTTCATTAAAGACAGTGGTGTGTGTGTGCGCGCGTGCTTGTGTGCTCCCCTCACTGTCGTGAAAACAAACTTGTCGTTCCAAAGGAATCATCCCTAGGAGTAACTCTTAAAACCGCTGTTGCCCTGGTGTCGAGGGAGCAGCTTATCTAGTACCTCAGTAACAGATATTGAATGTACCGTGCATACCCTTTTAATTTTTGTACAGATTTTCTAGATAGTCTATACCATCCTTTCCCGAAAGGGTTGTTTAATTGTAGCAGCAATGATACAATTAACAGGAAGGCCCCATCGAATAATTAGACCAAATCTTTGTCGGTCCAGTAAGGTCGCTGAATACTCAGGCTTCCAAAACCAGTGTGCATCTCTTTGCCTTTGCTCCTTTCCTCATGGTGAAAATTCAGCACAATTTCCCATTTTAGACTTTAGACTGTAAAAGTGTTTTCAACCTGAATCTTACTGGCTGATACGAAATGAAAAAAAAAAAGCAAAAAAAACAAAAGGTGGTCGTTGTGGTCTGCTAGTTATTCTTTACTAGAGCATTAGTCGTAGAGGATGCTGTTTTTCATTTTTTATCTCCATTTATTGTCAAGCTGCTCTATCTATAGTGCATGTGAGGTCATTTTATAGGGGGGGTGGTGGGCGTACGGTGCCCCGCCCTTTCTACCCAGCCCTGTCCACCCCAGCCAAGTGTTTTCAGCCCGGTTTGCCATTTTCGTTGTCGTCAGTTTCCAGTGATGTACAGTTTTTCCTCCCTCAGAGTCTATGAGACGCGGAGCATGTCTGTGTCCTGAAATGGTAGGCTCCTCTGTCATGTGATGAGTATATATTTTTTAAGAAGAATAACCCCCATAGTTTGGATGATGAGCTTAATGGTAATCTTAAATCTTGCTGTCGATGATGATTCTATTTTTATTTTTTTTCCTCAGTTCAGCAGTGCACTGTTTCGAAAGCCGTTTTGTTTTACTGTAGGACTTCATTTTGAATGGATACGCCGCCTGTGTTCTAAATGTTGTACTGAAACATTTCAGAGAAAACCAGATTGCCCCCCCCCCCCACCCCGCTCTTCTCGCTTGTATCCTGTGGGCCTTACTACTTCTCTCTCTGTTACAGTAGCTGTTATAGTCGCCATGGAACCACTCACTGCCTTAATACAGTTGACCACAGCAGGTGAAATCGGGAGAAAGCTGAAAAAAAAAAAAGGGGGACCCCCGATTAGGGCCGCTCCGCAAAAAAAACGACAACCGAAATAGCCCCCCCACCCTGACAGGCACCTTGCATTTCCTTTTCAGTGACGAACCACATTTATCCTCGCGTGAACACCTGTAGTTCACCCTGGAGTCGCATTAATTGAGTGTGAATTCTTAACAGATTTTTCTTGTGTAGTTTTTAGCAGTTCAGTCAGCAGTGTGTGTGTGTGGGTGTGTGTCAGCAGTGTGTGTGTGTGTGTGTGTGTGTGTGTGTGTCAGAGGCTCACACTGCTGTTCCTCTCTGCCTGTGAGGCTGCCACCACCGCCCGGGGGGGGGGGGGG